ATGCAGCTTCGGCCAACTGGTTCCCCCTCACGTCCCCCTTGAACCGTCGATGCTGGTCCTACCCGGTCAGCCCTCACAGCCAATGAGAAGCTCGGAATCGTCCACGAGGCTTCGAGCCGTCCGGTTTGCCTTTTCCGCCAGATCAACAGCATCATCGATCATCGACAACCCTGCACCTGGGAGCTCGCCATTGACGAATCATCATCCTGCAAGCGTCCGAATGCACCATGCTACCCCTCTCAACTGGACTGACCTCACCTCGTTGTAACACCCGCCGGCTTTCGACCCTGATCCGACAGACAGGCCGCTAGTCTGTTGAGCCCACTTCTTCTTGTTCAACTCCACCTTGACTCGGTCCTTGTCGACACGGAAGAAGCTCTCCTCTCTACGCGAGCGAACACCTTCGAGCATGCCCTTTGGTGATCTTCATTTCCACCCTCACGCTGCACTGGCAGCGCGCTAGGCCTTGACCCGCCAAGCTGGCAACACAGAGAGGTGCAGCACGTGCCCTCATCGGTCAACATGATCGGCTGAACGTCCCACGTTGTCCATCACCGGTCATCTCTCTTCTCCCTACCCCAGCCCTGTGCCTTATCACCAACGAGCGGAATCATGCAGACCTTCCTCCCCTCGCTTGGGGAAGCCAACAAGCGGAGCGCTCGCCCCGCACGCGTGTACCCAGTCGCAGGGTTTAGAACAGCTGCAACGGCTGCCCGTCTGGGTTCGTCAACCCACCACGAGCAAACCAGGTTCACCACCGTTTCTGCATACCACGTCGTAGCCGCGGTCGCGAAGCCGTCTTGAGCCTGGCGCCATGCAGCAATGACAATGGATCCGGCGCCGAGCGAGAGCTCTGCACCCTCGCAAAAGTCCATGGATCGGCACGTGCGACTGGCAGGGTTCGATAGCTTGACAGCTTGGAAATCACCCCCCCCCCCGAGCCGTATAAGTTCGAAGCCCTCCATCTCAGCCGCCCAACGGTCTTTTGTTGTTCTTTCCTTGTCCAGCCACTTCTGCGCCAGCGTTGTGAAGCTCCCCTTTTCAAAGAAGCCTTGCCGACCTAGGAGATCGGAAAGCGAGAAGGCATCAAGCTCAGCGTCACAATGGCCAAGCTCAACATTCTCGCCCTCGCGGCCGCCGGCCTTTCTGCCGTCTCAGCCCAGACGTTTCAGCGTCTCGGCTCGTGCCCCGACCTTGGTTGCGTCCTGCCGCCCGACCAGTCCGACTTTCTTCCTGGCCAGTTCTTCGACCTTCGTGTCGAGGTTCACGCTCCCGTCAACGGCTCGGAGGCCTTCAACAAGGGCGTTCCCGACGAAGATTTCTCCGTCACAATCACCAAGGAGGGCGGCGAGACCAAGTCTCTCGAGGACTTCTTCAAGATTGACAAGGAGCCGAAGCTCGAGTCCTGGACCTTCCACTGGTACGAGGACCTCTACGCCGAGGATGCCAAGGAGAGCTCCGCCGTCAATGTGGCGTCTAAGGTCTGGCGCCGTGTCGCCATTTACGAGCCTGGCAACTACGAGGTCAGCCTGAGCTACTATGGCGACAAGAAGACCACCGCCAACTGGGTCGTGCGACCGCTGGCGACGGAGAAGAAGGCCAAGAACATCATCTTCTTCATTGGTATGTTTCAGATACAGCTCAATTACTGAATCCAGCTGATTGGTCTTTTCTAGGTGACGGCATGACCACGAACATGGTATGGTTGTGAGATTGCAGATTTGCAATGGTGCCAGGAACTGATAATACCCCCAACAGATCACTGCCGCTCGTCTTCTCGGACACAAGAGCATCAACGGAAAGTACCAGACGAAGCTGGCTCTTGACAGCTTCCCTGTCCTTGGTCACCAGATGACGCACTCCATCGACACCTACATCACCGACTCGGCCAACTCGGCGTCTGCTCTGTACACCGGCCACAAGAGCACCGTCAACGCCATGGGGTGAGCAACATGGGAAAATACATGCACTGCCAGAGCTAATCGGCCCTAGTGTCTACGCCGATTCTTCTCCCGATCCATTTGACGACCCCAAGGTTGAGACCATTGTTGAGCTCAGCACCCGTATCTGGGTGAGTACACTCCCAAACAGGCCCTTTTCGCTACAAGCAAGACTAACGAGTGTAGGGCACCATCTGGGGCGCTGTGTCGACTGCCTTCATGGCCGATGCCACCCCCATCGCCTTGACTGGCCACACCCGTGCTCGCTCGCAGTACGGACCCCTGATCGAGCAGGCTCTGAACGGTATCAGCAACTACTCCTGGCCCAGCCACAAGGGCCCCGACGTCTACTTTGGTGGCGGTGCCGAGCAGTTCATCCCCGGCAGCGGCTCCTACAAGGGCAAGGACTACTATGCCGAGTTTGCCAACCAAGGCTACACTGTTTCGCAGAACAAGACGGCTCTCGAGGCCGCTGACTCTGGCGAGAAGGCCCTCGGAATCTTCTGCAAGGGCAACCTCCCCACCTGGCTCGACCGCAACGTCTACACCAACAACCTCCAGGGCCTCAAGAACAGCCCTGCCGGTGGTGATGGCGACGCCAAGGATCTGCCCGGTCTCAAGGAAATGACCCTGAAGGCTATTGACGTCCTTCACAACCGTGCCAGCGAGGATGGTTTCTTCCTCATGTCTGAGGCTGCCTCCATCGACAAGCAGATGCACGCTCTCGACTACGACCGCGCTCTTGGTGACCTGCTCGAGCTCGATGATACTGTCCGCGCCACGATTGCCAAGCTTAAGGAACTCGGCATCCTCGACGAGACGCTGATCGTGGTCTCTGCGGATCACGGCCACGGCTTCGAGTGAGTGATAGCTTATTTTTGGTGTACGTACCAAAGCTAACCAGCACAGCGTCTTTGGTGGTACCGATACCAAGTACCTCGCCGAGCAGGAGGACTCCCGCTCCAAGCGCCGCGCCGTCGGCACCTACGCTCGCTCGGGCCAGTCGCAATACACGTCGCCCAACCCCAACGTCAGCTACAACACTGGCCCCAACTTCCCCCTCAACTGGACTCCACGCTACGCCATCGCCGCCGGCTTCGGCGCCAACCCCGACCGCCGCGAGAACTACCGCCTTCACGAGTCGCCCCGCAAGCCGACTGTGCCTCTGGCGCCCAACGACAACTACGTCAACCCCAAGGACGCCCCCGACGGCTTCGTCGTCAACGGCACCATCCCCGTCGACGAGGCTCAGGGCATCCACTCGCTGACGGACGTCATGGTGTACGCCATGGGTCCCTGCCAGGAGACCTTTGGCGGGTCGTACGACAACACGGACATCTTCTACAAGATGGCCAACTGCTTCGGCCTCGGTCAGCCCAGGGATAGCAACAGCCCTTGTAAGAGGAAGCGCGCTGTCTAGTGAACGGAGAGGTCGTGATGTTGATTTAATGCATGCGAAGCGTGGTGTTTGGCGGGAGCGGAAGGCGGTGGCCTTTTTTGATAATGTAGTCTTCTTGCTACCAATACAGTGAAATCTTAATTGTGTCCGCCGTTGTATAGCTAGAGCACTTCGCTGCGCTCACCAACCTGTGCCTTTGTCTGGCCTCCGGCTTGGCTTGGCCTCCGATTTCGGTCATTTCTTCTCTACTCTGCTTGAAAAAATGGGGTTTGTAAAAGGAGCCATTAGTCCTAGAAACTCAGAAAGTGAAGGACCGGTGTGAAGGGATCGTGAAAGGGGCCGATGACATAATCGCCCAACTAGCACTAGGGGTCCAACGCCCCGCCCCAAAGAAATCTTAGTAGCAGGCACAGCGGGGTCGTGCCCCTCGACAGCCGCACTGAGCCAACGTCATCTCGACCCCACCAAAGCAAGTGAATCGATCACTCAACCCACCCACACAGTCAGCTTTAAGCATCTCAGCGCATCCTCAGCCATCACGACATTTACGCAACCAGGCACATCGACAGAACGCATTGGAGGCACCCCTTCATCCGCTACATCCAAGGCACGCCAAGATGCCCGCCCGCGTCCCCACCGAGGCCGACTTTGCCCACCTCGCCTCCTCCCCCGCCGTCAAGATCGCCCTGACGTGGCCCAAGCCCGCCGAGCTGACGACGTCCTTCCTCATCGTCTTCCACGGGCTCGGCGACCACGAGATCCCCTACGCCGGCTTCGCAGAGGGCGTCAACCTCCCCGGCGTCCTGAGCATCGCCGTCCAGGGCACGACGACCCTGCCGCTCGCGCTCCTCGGCGACCCGGACGCCCAGCCCGGGCGCAACTTCCACTGGGGCGACGACATCAAGATTGACGACGCCACGGGCGAGATCGACCCGGACCCGGGGTACGAAAAGGCCGAGACGATTGTCCGCGACCGCCTGATCAAGGAGACCCTCATCGACAAGCTCGGCTGGAGCCTCGGCGACATCATGTTCTTCGGCTTCGGCCAGGGCGGGTCCCTGGCGCTGGGGCTGGCGTCGAAGCTGCGGGTCGGGCCGCCGCTCGAGGAGGAGCAGGAGGGCAAGGCGCCGGGGGACGCGGCGTTCAAGGGCGTGCTGTCGCTGGGCGGGCCGCTGCCGCGGTCCATGGTGCCGACGGTCAGCGCGCGGGGCAAGGCCAAGACCAAGGTCCTCGCGCTGCAGTTTGAGCTGGACGAGATTGAGGAGCTCAAGGCCGAGTTTGAGAATGTCGAGGTTGCGCACTGGAGGAGAAAGGGCGTGTCGATGCCGAGGGAGAAGGAGGAGATGGTCCCCATCATGAAGTTCTTTGCCGACTGCCTCAACGATGGCGTGACTGGTGTTGGGGGGCCGAGCGTGTAGGCATGATTGGGGGCATGGGGAGAATGGCTGGATCAAGAAGCCGATGAAAGGAGTTTTGCGATACCGAGGGTGATAATGAAGGACGACATCATAAAATACCAAAAGTCGACATGCATCGCCATGCAATTCACGTGTGACCTCAAAATGAAGCTGCAGAGGGCCCATGGTGCTCACGGGTTGTGCTCAGTCGAACACAGAAGCTGGCTCTCCAAGCACGTGCTCAGCTGAACATGAAGCCAGAAGCAGCCGAAATGAAGATTAGATTGCGTAGACGCTAGAGATTACAAAGTTTCTACTTGACCAGGCCATGGTGTCTAATAAAGTGGTCGCTGCTGATATTGTGGCGCCATGAACTGTCCACCCATCATCATCATCGGATACTGCTGCTGCTGCTGCTGCTGCATCTGGGGCGGAGGAAATTGTCCACCCATCATAACAGGATACTGCGGCTGCGCGACTTGCATCGGGAAGAATTGATTCCCCATCATCATGGGGTACTGCTGCGGCGGCGGAGTCGTCTCCCTACCATAGAACCGGCGTGGGTTCAAAGGAGCGCTCAGCCAGGGGTCTGGTTCAGTACGGCGCTTGTTCCAGGGACTTGGGCTCTCGAGGGTTTCGATCCGACTGACCAGCCCGCCGGATGTGTGCGGCCTCGGCATGGAAGGTCGTTGCAAGGAGATTTGCGACGAGTTGTTCATGTGCATCGTGTGGCCGTAGTGATGGCCCGTCGCGGCGAGCCCTGGGGATGGCGTGACAGACCGCGTGGGAGCTCGCGGTTGCGGCGGCGAGGGCGTGGCGAGTTGTCGGCTCGATGTTCGAGTGTGTGGCCTCGGGGGACGAAGCGTATTCTGCGGGCTCCTTTCCTTTTCGTGTCCCTCGTTTTTCTTGGCGCCTCTTGCTTTTAGGAGCAAGGCGACGGGGACATCCTCATCATCTTGATCCGCTGCCGCAGCATGGACCTGGTCGGCAAGCGTCTTGTCGCTGCTGCTCGACTGCCGCTTGGAACACGCCGACAGCCATGTCTCGACCGATGCATCTGCGACGGCCGGTGACTCGGGGCGAGCCCCCGTGTCTGGCTGCCCGACACCTCCACCCCCTGATACTTTTCGCCTGTTGTACCGCTGCTCAGCGATGTACGCTTGTTGGCGATCCCTGTGTTGGAACGCCTCTTGTTTCGTTTTCCTTTCGTCCACGTCGTCAAGTTCGTTATCGTCTTGCGAGTAATCGCTTTCGTCGTCCAGTTCGTGCTGGTGCATCATCTTCGCCCGTCGGTACATCTCAAATTCCTGGGCCGTCATAATCTTGCTCTGGCTGCTCGCGGAGGATTGCTGTCGTCGATGGCCTCGATATTCTACGTCAAAAAAAGAAAGGTTAGACTATGCAATTCAATCAGTGCGTCTAGGTGTTCGTCTATACCGTTTGCTGCTCCCGTTTGGTCTGGGCTTGTTTGTTTTCCGTCGTCAGAAACGACATCGTCTACGGTAGGCGTTAGTCCTCGTGAGTGCTCATGGATGCAACGCCGTGAGGTACTCACCGATCACCAATGATTCGATAATGGCAGGCATGGTGTCCTGGGAGAACAATCCAGGGTACGGCTGGTTCTCTTCGGCGGCATCGTCACGAAAGTCGTCCCTGTGCTGGGCAGGCTGGGCTTCCTCCTCGATGGGCTGCATCATGGCTGGCTGAGACATGGTGGCGAGATGCTGGCGGTGATCGCGGACAACAAAGGTGCGGCTTTGCAGTGTCTAAAAGCAAAGCAAAGCTCGACGTCGAGATAAGAAACTGGGAGCATGGCAAACCTTTGAAGGTCAGGCCGGGGCGACCGTTCCTTAAGGCAGCCTGCCGATGGACCATGCATGAGGTCTTCTCGTATTGTGCCCTGGTCATCGTCCCGTCCAGCACAGACTGTGGGGAACACGAGGTCTGGCCCGGCTTTATGATCCCTGGATTTGCTTCTATTCTCGGCTTTTAGGGGTGTTTCTGGTGGAGACCACGGCACGGCAGGGCAGGCAATGATCGGAATCTCCACCTGTTCTCTTATCGATAGTTTTCTTTTGTAGATCGGGACGTGGCTGAGGCTATGAAACCTGTTTGTTGGGCCAGGAATCTGTTGTTTTGCCCCTATTCCGCCGTCATTCTTTTGCTTCTTCGGGGGCGGCGAATGATTCGCACCCTCGCAAGCCCCTGGTTTCATTAATTCTTTTGTCCGTATGAGGTACAGCGAGAAGGCGTCTCGGAATTCCCGCGGGAGCTATGACCGCCTTACCATGTACATGTCCAGAATCCAGATATGGTCTCTAAAAGCGAGTGCCTTGGCATTTCAACATCACCACGTCGACTTGGTCCCACCGCACGCAAAACCACATGTGTCTTTGGTGGACTCTGGTTCAGCTCCGCTTAGAAATTTAAGCACGATTCTGGCCACATTGAAATACAATCTATGGAGCGCGCATCAATGGCAACATTGGAGCTTCCAACGTTACAATCCGCCGGCGCTCCACGCAAATTGGTACAAATATGAGTCCTCGAGGGGGGGATGTGGCGTACTGTGCATCTCTCGCTTTCTCACATTTCCAAAATAATAGCCGCTCCCGAGTCTCCCAGGCCTAACTCAAGGCTTTACTAACACCTACTCTCTTCACCAACATCCGTCGAGTCTGTTTCGCCCACTTCTCCGATGCCGATCACATCTTTGTCCCATCGCTTGAAGATGCGACACACTGGTTCACTCGGAATGAAGTGTTCGATGGCGTCTGCAGGCGAGGATTCATCACCGCAACTTCCACGCAGCCTCAACCAGACTAAAGGCGCCACCATGTAGGGCAGAGTTTGGCTCCACATTAGCGGCCCTCGAAGGCTTGACCTTTGACGGCAGACATGATCGCGGCAGCTGAACTCACGTCTCCGCTTGATTGGATGAGCTGGATGATCCTTCTCGACCAGATCACGCGAAACTGCTTCCAGGATGACGAGGCCGGCAAGGCGTATGCTTTCTTCGACGAAAGGTGTCTGCAGGTGGCACTCGAAGCGATCAAGAGAAGGATCCCTGAAGACCCGGAGATTCGGTACCGCCAGGCATACAGGTTGTGGTTCTACATGCCCCTCGAGCATTCGGAGAGCATGCAGATGCAAGACATGTTGTTTTCAGAGCACAAGCGCATGTTCAGCGACATTCTCTGCGTCCTCAAGCTGAAGACAGAACTCGAAGAAGACATGCAGGTAGTCCCCTCGATCAAAGAAGTGCTCGAACGTCGGCGGCCCGCTCTTGAGCCCTGGATTGGAACGCTTTCCAGGATCGTATCCGAACACAGAAATGTTCCTGGAGCGCTTCGGGCGGTACCCGCATCGGAACCAAGCTTTGAAGCGGACTTCTACAGCCTCGGAGGTGGCTCATTGGAAGAGTCACGGGTAGTGGCCGTTGGCTAGTATGGCGCGTTTACATTTGACAAATATGTCGAAGGCATGTAAAGCTGCCTAGACTCCTCCAATTTATTTGCGCCCGACCATAACATGAACAACATCTGTGCTATTCACTAGGAAACCCCCAAATCCCTTCCCCATTGTAACACCGGCTGTGTGACGTCATTCGCGATGACACCGGGAGACGTCATCTTCGAGGGTCCCTCAAGTCACCTGCAACGGAAAGAACAACCAGAGGCCACATTGTACGTCGACAGGAACGCCTCAGCCTGGTAACAAACAAGCTTCACGCAAGGGATTTCTCAGGTTGTTCTCACCACCACGCGTCAAGTTACCATATCCTCGTTCCCTCTCGATCCACCCCAGATTCAACAGCAATGGCCGAGGCACTCGCTGGAACTGTTGCCATCGAGCAGGTCATCTCAACCGCTGTCGAGGCGACTGCCGTTGCTGCCCTCGCCAAACCAACGCAGCCTTTGAAAGGGACATTGTCGCAGATCGCAGCCTTTCCTGCCAACGATAGCCAGTATGTCATCGTCCTCCCCGAGCATCATACCAAAAAGCCTTATATGCTGACTCCCACGTGCAGACTGTCGCTTTCTCGATACAACCACACCGTCACCGTCATCGAAGGCAAAGCCCACATGTTTGGAGGCCAGAAGCAAGACAGCCAGCTCTGCTCCGTCGACATTCATGCCATTGCGATCCCGACCACAGGCGCTGCCGCGGCCAGCGAATATGCGTGCTACCCCGCGCTGGCGATGAAGGACATCGACACGGGCGAGATGCTTGTGCCGGCTCGGCGAACGGAACACGCCGCCTGCGCCCGCGGCCAGTACCTCGTCATCCACGGCGGTCGGGACGCGACGGGCGCCGTCATCGACGAGGACTGCATCTGGCTCTGGGACTCGCGCGCATTGAGCTGGTCTCGCATCCAGGCACCGAGCCAGATCGGCAAGAGGCTGTCTCCTCGATACGGCCACGACATCTTTCTCGCCGGGAAGGAAGACGTCCTCGTCCTGCACGGAGGCCGCACTGGACCAGAGAGTCCGGCTGACGTTGAGACGTGGGTCTTCACCTTCGACACGCGGGCGTGGACGAAACTGCCGTCGGCTCCGGCGGCCCCGATGGCAGCCGCGTTCGTGGACCACGTCTTGTACACAGTTTCGAGGGGCGTGAATACGCCTGGCGCGATCAACTTTCTCGATATCAGAGGCAGCGCGGCGGATCGGGAGAGGGCAGATGCGCTGGAATGGCAGACGGTGGACTACGCAGTCAGTCCGCTGGCCCCTGCCCCCGAACCACGCGAAGGCGGCGCTCTCGTGCCGATCACGACCGGAGTGGGCCGGAACTACCTTATCTACATGTTTGGCCACTCCGACGGCGCATTGGCTGGCGAGAGAGACTTTTACTCAGACATCTGGTCGCTGCAGGTGCCTAGTCGGGGACTCAGTGCCGCGATTCTGAAGGACGCCATCCGCGAGAAGCTGCCGCGGGCGGAATCGGGAGAGTTCAGCTGGGCTGAGGTTGAAATCGTGCCAGAGGAGAAGCACAGCGGGGGTGGCAAGGCACATCCTGGACCCCGAGCGTTGTTTGGCGCCGCTGCCGCCGGGGACGCAAACTTGGTCTTCTGGGGAGGCATCAATGGCAGCGGCAGTGGGAGCGAGGAAGACACCTGGCTCCTTCAGATACAGTGAAGACCCAGTGAACAGGGCGAAGTTCATAACAACATCATCCTTGCAACAGCTACCGCACAAGGTTTTCGAGAGTCTCAGCCTTTTGGGGCTTGGTGTCAATTGAGAAGCAAGCATTTGAACAGATACCTCTAGACTTGGGATACAAGAGGTAATACGCCACGATAGATTATCGTGGGCGACGAAAGACTACAAGGTTTCGAGAACGAGGAGACACCTAGTTCCAGTGCGAAGGCTGCTTCTCACAACACGCATGAAGATCAGTGACGCTTCGCGTAAGCAACTCAATCTGTGACGCGGGTCATGTCATCTCAAGATGCAAATACGCCGGCCTCATGATCGCATGTCTCGCAAGGCATACAGCTGTGAATTGAATATCGACAAGCACAGAAGCAGTCAATTGATTTCTTCACCCAAATCCAATTACATTAAAAGAATGACTTAAACCTGGATCCATGGTCCCAAGATTCAGAGCTGGTCATAAGGAACTTCTCTGAACGACATAGCTGCAGCACATACCACCCACCACTTGAAAGAAACGACCACAATCCTGCCCATGTGCTCCACGAACTGCCAACATGAGCATAAGCATGCCGCACATGTCAGGTGCAGCGGAAAAACAGACACAGGGCAGAGCTATGCGCGCTTAAACCTTGGTGCCAACGACTTGGTGGACCTCCTGTTCGGAAGAGGGAACTCTCTCGGCCTCCTCCTGCTGAAGTTCCTTCTCAACGCGGTCGAGGTTTAAGTGGGCGACGGCGGCACGGTCTCCATCGATAACCTGTGCAAGCTCCTCCAGGGTAGGGCCACGAGTCTCTACGTACATGAAGTAGATGAAGATGACTTCGCCAAGAACCCAGACGGTGTAGATCAGGTAAAGCCTCCATGTGTTACCGCCGTATCCAGTGTCTTTGTTGGCCTCGTCGGTCTCCCAGGCCTCAAATGCCACGGGGTTGAGATACGCGTTTAGAAGCAGAGCGATTTGAATCGAGATATTGAGGAACATGAGACCCTTGGCACGAAGCGAGTAGGGAAGAATCTCAACTGCATAGCCGATCAAGAGACCGGACCAGCAGGTAGAGTAGAAGACACCATGGAGCCAGACCAGGAATATCATAGCGTTGTTAGCGCCAGCGGCCCTGTGCTGTTCGGAGAGGCCGCAGGTGAGGGTCCAGAAGACGAGTGTGAGGAACATGCCGCCCGTGGAGAAGAGGAAAGAGAAGCGTCGGTTGAGACGTTCGACGAGAAGGGCGCAACTGATAGAGACGAACATGTCGAGAACAGTCTTGCCAGCAGTAATAGCCAGGCGCTCAGTCTCGCTCGAGATACCAGCATTGGTGTAGAGACGTGCAGAGTAGTTGGAGACAACGCCGTTGCCGGACCATTGGGAGAAGATACCAAGAGAGAACAGTACGGCAAGACGGTAACGGTTTCCCTTCGTCTTGAAGAAGTCAACGTACTTGGTGCTATTGTCAGCCTCCTGTTCCATCTTGATAGTGTCGCGGATCTCGCGGAACTCGAACTGGACTGTTGGGTGGTCGACATTGCCACTGGCGTGGTACTTGGCGAGAATAGCTAGGGCCTCATCTTGACGATCTTTGGCGATCAGGAAACGAGGAGACTCAGGGATCCCTAACCAGCTACGTTAGTACAAAGCCAGGCAGACCAAGACGGAACCAAGTGTCAGTGTTTGACTTACACCACAGAACAATCAGTTGCAGGAGACCAGGAGCACCCTGCAGAATGGCAGGGAAACGCCACGACCAGTCGTTGCCCCAGTAATGGGTACCGAAACAGGTCCACGAGACGAGGAAAGACCCAAGGTTCCAGAGACAGTTGTACACAGTAGTGAAACGAGCGCGGTGCTGAGGGTGGCAGATCTCAGCCAGAAGCATAGGGGAGCAGATCTGAGCGAACGAATTGCCGAATCCAAGGAGGACACGGCCGCCAGAGTAGGTTGCATAGTCGGGGGCGGCAGCCTGAAGAGCGGCGCCGATGGCCATGATGATGAAACCAATGGCAATGGAGGGGCGGCGGCCCCAGCGGTCGGCAATGATAGGAACGATAGGAATGGAGGCAACAGAGCCAATCTGGTAGAGAGCGACGAGAAGCCCAAGCCTGTCGCCGGTAGGCCTATCGAAGAACTCATTCCAGCTGTCGAAATTCTGGACGGTACCCATGTACATGCTGGGGACTAGGTCAGACTGACAATCAACAAAGATGACTCGGGAAACCTACCCGTCCCAGCCAGTTCCCATGGAAGAGACACAGAGCACGACCGAGTAGAAGGTCAGGATCCTGAGGCCGGGCTCCCTGTACCAGACTACGTGCTCAAACTTGGGCGCCTCATCACGAATCTTCTGCGTCTTCTCGTCGGTCCCGAGACCGATGATCTCCTTGATGCCCATGGCGAACTGGGGCTGATGGGATAAAGGTGGAGAAGGCGAGGCAAGATGATCGTCTTCTGCTGCTGCGCAAAAAAGGGATCTGACTTGTCGAGGGCCTGGCGGACTTCCTTCGTTTTGAATTGAAGAATGAAGTGGAAAGGGAGAGGAAGGCAGCCCCAGATATATAGAAGACGTGCGTGAAGGGCGTGGTACGCAGCGGCCTGGGCCTGGGCAATGGCGGGCAGGCGGACCGCCCTTCAGGCCCAGATCACGGAGAGAGAAGTCGGTCCCTCAAAGTGGAAGACGCACCCCATCTATCCATCAGACGAGGGGCCCCGCCACCCCCAAATGTCCCTCGCCCGGTGGACAGATGCTCATGGGGTTGCCGAGGACGAGCAGGGGTTGCGGGGGAGGGCATGGGCAAACATCTGTCGAAAGCCAGGTCAGGGTTGAGGTAGCTGGGCCGAGAAGTGGAGTGAGGAATGAGTGACAGACCACCCAGATGTCGTCTACGGAGTGAGAGTTGCATTCTGCCGGAATACCAATCGAGACGGTATTTTGCTGCCGGAAAGGGGGGGCTTTGTTCCACCTTGGCCATCGTTTGGGGTCTTGGAAGTCTTGGAAGTCTTGGAAGTCTTGGAAGTCTCGGTGGCCTTGCAAGTCTTGGACGTTGGAGTAGCGTTGGAAGTTGAGGAAGTCATGAGGCTCTGCCAAGAAGGGGGGCAGGTGCTCGGGGGGCCGCCTGTGAGCCCGTGCCGCATGGCGCCTGCCAAGCTGTGCCCGAATAAGCGAACAGGCATGTCTTCTGAGGCAGGCAGTCTTCTGAGGTAAGGTACCTTAGGTAGGTACCTAGGTAGGTACCTGAAGCAGCTGCGGCGGTTGCACTGCATTTGTGACTGCCTCGACAGGCAGTCAACAGAATTGTCCGGAAGGCCTGAAAGGCTTGATTCAAACCCCATCTTGACGAGGCAGTCGTGGGGACCATGCAGAATAACATCTATGTTCAAGCCAAGCTAGCAGGCCTGATATTGTAGGTATCTAGGTACCTACCTACCTAGTTATGGGAAAGGGCGTGCAGTGGATTGGTTCGTTCGATGGCTGAGGCAAAGACGATTCACTGAGGACCAAACCTGCCCACCGCCATAGTCCTCGGTCGCTTGGGCTCCTGACTCTCTTCAAGTGAAGCCACACTTGGATACATTCTGCCCCAGGCCAGGGGAGGGTAGGCACTGAGCTGCTGAGGTCTGAGGTTAGTACGGTAGCAAGGATAGGTACATAGCTGCCTTGATGCTTGCTTGTCATGCCTGGTTCCTTGCCATGTGAGTGCTCTGCAATGTGCATGCCCAGCCCTATGGCGGCGCACCTTGCAGAATTGTAAAGCATTCGTTGGTGTCTGAGTCGTCCAACCCATTTCACTGGAAATCTTGGTCATTCTCGGAACCAAGGAATCAGGTCCGCCGACGCTCGAAAGAGCACCAACCCACGAGCGCGGTCCGTCTCTTCCTCTTAGGTTACCTGGCCGCAACATCGTCCTGCAGCGAAGGCTCGCGACTTTGCCGCCATGGCCTTGGGCCACATGACGGCGCCTGGCGCCTGGGCAGACGCTTCACATACCCGCCACAAAGGCCATGAAGCGATCATGGACATCTCGACGCGTCGAAATTCCCCTGGATGGATGCAGGGCTAAGGCCGGTAGTCTACGGCTCTGTGCCAGCCGCCTTTAGCCTGATCTACCTTCTGATGCCGCGGCACGCCTCTGATCGGGCGGTACTCCTTTGATCTTGGGGAGAATTTCATATTGGAAGGGCCGAAGTAGGAGGCGCGAGCCATGATTTGCTGCTGTGCCCCGAACCAGACGTTTGGATCCGCCACCTCTCAGGTGTAGCACGACCAGCACAGCTTCAACTGGCTGTCCTGATGGATCTGTGCAAGGGTGTCACATTCGGCTAAATGCGGGTAAATAAATGTTATATTAACGCCAAGACCATCTCGGCTCCGGTTCTTAAGCTGGGTCAATACTCACGCCTTTCCCTCGCTTGCTTGACTTACCATGTACGCCGCTCAGCAAGATATTAAGAACAGGTCTGAAACTGCTTCTTTTGGACACGAACATGCCAAACAAAACACCACCGCCGCATTGGCATGGAAGCCAACCATCCATGAGCCGCCTTGTCGCGTGGCAGGCGTGCATGTCGCGGACCATAAAAGATCGAGGACCCGCAGCCAAGATAGCAACTGGAGACCAAGAGGGCGCTGACCAGCTCTCCCGTAGCTCTCATACGGCGCTGACCGCCGCCAAGGTCTTGACCTCCACACCGACTCCATATATCCAGGCATTCTTGTCCACCCAACAAGACTTTGCCCAGCGCTTCACCGTCCTCGAGCGACATGGAGTTCAGGGACCGAGGGCCGATGTCCCCTGCTTGCTGGGCGCATTCCGGTCAATTATGAATGTCGCGAGGTGTAGGACCGGAGCACCGTCGGCGATGCAGCTTGCTGACGAACGCGTTCATCTGATCTTATGTACACGTGAGCTTCCACCCTTTTTCCTCCGGTGCTATGCGTGGAAGTCAAAACACAAGACACCGTCCTCGCATAGTACCATACGATTACTTTGTCCAGGCACCAGTCCCCGAGCTACCCTGAGGCGCTGTGCATGAGTATGCTAGGATGACTCCTATATTCCACTTGCCACTCTGCATACATGATGAACCCTGCCATCGACCAAGGTCTTGCCAATCGGGCGAGCAGCCTGGATTTCTTGGAGCCAAGTGGTTACGGTGACACCGGCGAGTCCAGGTCATACCGAGCCAACATCGATTCGCCCACGTCGAATGTGTGGTAATCTGGACCCAACACAAGGTGTGGGCAACCACGCCTCAATACCCTCAGCCTTCTGACGTTATATCCACTACGCATCAATTCCGATTCGACTGACTCCTGCTTCGTAACTTTCGCTGGTGTCAGACCTAAGGTATGGCCCCGTAGGTGGCTAGCGACAACCCGTCACAATCAAGACTAAGAGAGGCGCCCCCTCAGGCGCCCTTTCAACATTCTCCTTGTGTTGTGATCAGCGTTGGCAGGGTGGCAAATGATTGATATGTCGGAAAGGAGAGAATAGTAGCATTACTTCTCATCATCTTGTTGCGTGCATCTACTTCTGTCCATAACTCCACCCGACCTGCAGTCGCGGGACAACCTCCATAGTGGGACCATTCATGCGTCCTACCCATTTCAGAAGTCCATTACTTTCGAATAATGCCAGCGCGTATATAACGCGGCGGAGAGCCAGGATTCAGATGTGTTCTTATCCCAGACCTACCAATTGGCTGCGGGGAACACATGCGGAAAAAGTCTAGATTACAAGCACTCATCATCACTCTCTGAAAATTACAGGTTGTTGAACCAATATTAGGGGATTCCCTAGGGCGGTGATCAGGATGGTGATCACCGGGGGATCACCGTAGCTGGGATTCACAGCTCTCAGGAGCACGTGAATCACGGCTTACGTGATCGGTGAATCAGATGGGTATATCTGACTCACGTAGGTAGTGGTAACTCAGAGAGATAGCATCAATCACATCACAAGTCTTATATCACCTACCCTACCTATTCAGAGCTCGCAGGCACGGCCAAAGTACTGAATTGGGGTTCACATAAGCAGTGAAGCCCTCTCAATAGCTGCTTCAAATTGCGAGATGGATGTAACTTGTGCTATCCTTTATCGAACTAGTGCACCGCCTAGTTGAAACATTGAAGTAATTTGACCGTACAAAAGAACGACTGTAATGCCTACAGGCTTGCTCTCAATCAGATACATGTTGCAGAAAGTCCTCGTCTTTGTCACGTAACCCAAATGGCCCAGTTTATCTCTCAAGCTCCCTAAAAAGCGATATACTCTTGAGGTGAGATAACTTGCACCATCTAGCAGCTATCGTTGGTGATGAAAACATTGTACCCGTCAAGGTGGAACAACTGACCACCGCACTTGTTGCGAATGCCGGCAGACGAGCAGAGGTTGCAGAGCTCAGCCGCACCACGGGCCAAGTCGCCCCATGAGTTGAGAGTAACCGCGTGGTCATTCTACAAAGCTATGAGTTTAGCAAAAGTACCAGACCAAATTTGGTTTACAACAGATCTGGAAATATATCACGTACATCGTTACACCAGTAGATGCCCGAGTTGTGAGAACAGCTGACGCGTGCGCAAGCAGCAGGACCAGGGCCGTGACCGGGCTGGCCCTCGAGATCCCAAAGGTAGTTCCACCCTTCTTGGATCCTACCGTAGTCAGCGGGCTCCCATCCGTGAACCGGATGCTTGGAGTCGATGCATTCGTAAGAAGCACCCTCCCACTGGCGCGTGATCAGTTCGTGCTTGTCGCTGTTTGCGTTGCGGCGCTTGAGCTTGATTCTGGGGTACAGAGACTGGAACTCCTCGGTAACCTCTTCAAGAGTGCCATAGAGTGTAATAGATTCGCCACTGGGAGTCTTGAAAACCCAGTCGAGGTCGGTGACGGTGTATCCGTCGGGAGCAGCAGCGATCTCAATGGCATCAGCATCGTCTATTCACCAAAGTTTCTTGAATGAGCGTCGATCAAAACTCACAGCGGAGCCGCTCAAGGCAGCAAAAGCAACGGCAGAGAATTTCATTTTGATGATGGTGGGACCGGTTGCTTGAAGTTTCGAAGATTTGATATGTTGAAGTAAAGATACAGTGTGAGCTGGATAACTTTGGTTGTTGATGCTAGCTTACTTGGCGCGATAGTTTGTTGAGCTCCATGAAGCGATTTAAAGAGAACCCTGATGCTTCTTTATACTTGGGAGATGCTGTCATTATTCGATGCCACTCTCATCAAGTGGCCACAGAGCTACCGACGCGCCACTTACTCGAGTCGTGACTTCAGACCAACAACGATGATTCTGCAAGAATTGCGCCGCATCGACAGATCGAAAGGTCTCTCTCGTAAAAGTGGAAGCAAGCGCCATACTGAAATGACATTAATGACGTCAATTGACCTAGTCGAAGCCTGTTCTGTCTCTCAGGCTGAGGCGACTTCCATCCCAAAAGATCCTTCGTGCTTAGTTTAGAATCTCAAGGGTCACCATATGAGGAGTTTTGATCATCATGATAGCTATTTCTGTGAATTTTGATCGCCACCGAGGCTAACTGCTTCAAAAGGAAACTCGTGACAATCATGGAGCAACGTTGAGGTTAACCATGATCCTTCTTCTTCTTGGCATATATGTGGAATATTCAGAGGATCTGGTGCTTGTTGCGGGCCGGTGCAGCGCCGTGAGATGTACTCGGGCCCGTCAAGACAAGTTTAGGGGTCGCGCCTATGCGACCAATAAGACTTAGCTCAGTCAACCTGAAGGAATCATCAACGTGGGGGTCCTGATGTATGCTGGGCTGACATGGCAAGCAAGTAACTTCTGACGAATGAAATGTGTTTGTTTCCCACGTGTTGCATGAGGTTCGCCACGACACTCCGACCTCAACACTGTAAGAATATGCGAGTTTTCTGGAATGTACCAGTACTTCAATCATCATAAATAGAGTGGCGTCATGCATGCATGTGTTCCTTTGTAAACAACACCATCGCTTAGGAGCGTTATGACGGCCGAATGTGTTGTGATGCGCGAACAAAGAGATCCTTTTCGCATCACCATTACCACATGGTGCATAGACACCACAGCTACACCCAAAGGCCACCTGGACCTGCAAACATTCGCACCCATCTATTTGACCTTTCTCAACACGAGGTGTAGCATCGCAGAATAGAGGCTTATCGATCACATACTACGTTGAGATCACATGTTGGTGTTCATCTATACAAGGTAAGGTAAGGTACCTACGTTGGGACGAAGAAGTGGGGCAGTCTTGTATTCGGCGTATGTTCTGAGACGTTTGAAAGAGTGGCCCTTGTGCATACATTTCTTCAGGGCCATGATCCCAACCCATGTTCGTAGGTAACTAAGAAGCATGGCGAATACCAAGTCCAATCGCGGTACCCAACACGACCCCGACTACCACGCCGACCGAAATTCCGATGACTGTGTGTTTGTTGGTTGTGAGCATGGAGCCAGATTGCAGCCCTTTGCCGTATTGCTGCCTTTCAGGGTCATTGGTATCAGAGGAAGGTCTGTTGCTTGCAGAGCACTGCTTGTTGTGAGGCATGATGTGTGAATGGTGGTGTGAAATGCTTGTAATTCCGTTGTGAAAAGCGAGTGCGAGATGCTTTAGTGAGGGCCGAGTTTGTCAGACAGGAAACGTATCTCATCTCATCTCGGGGTGGCAGCTGCGCTCCTGAAATACAGCGTATGTTTTCTTTCTTGGGATGCGTTGGTGCTCATCCTCGAAAAGTCCCATGGTGGTGCTGATACTGTATGAACAAACAAGGTCGTGTCGCTGTCAATAAAGTTATTTTGGGAACGCTTGTCAACAGCATGGCAGTCCCCGAACGACATCAGTTCAGGCATTGATCGTCATTTGCAGAGTCCGTAGATCTCGTCTTCGCCACTTCCCATCAGTCGATCCAAATGACTTCGTCGTAGCAAAGCATCTGTCTACGATTACTCGATAAACGGACAGTGGGACCTCCGTATTCATATTCCTGATTCTGAGCCATTGCAAAAAAAAATCACAAGAATAACGAGCATCACTGTACAAACCGTCTTGCCCACACCATTTCTGCACCATAAGGCCAAATGGCAGCATTCATCCTTTCTTACTTATCCAATGCACCTTTCGAGGCTTGGAAGCCATACCTTTTGCTCGTTTTGGCCGTCAAACTCACTATTGTTGCCATGGTCTTGCCAAAGGTATCACCTTTCGCCTCTTTCATCCCACCATATGCCTTGACCATTTGGTCATTACTCTCCATCAGCCCGAAGACGACCGCTTGGTCTCCGCCGTACTTGGAATATTCACTTGGAATCACCTGCATTGTCAACCTCATTATCTTACCGCGCATATTACTATTCGAAAAACACGACGTAGTTGCTGCCCCGAAACTTGATGCTCTGCCGAGATCGAACTCCACAGGATCTTTGCGGGAAACCCTGTCAAATGCCACAAGCATCTGGAATAACCCTCGAAACATCACGACGACAAAAATATACCCAGGGCATAAGCCCTCCCTGGCCTTGTTTCGGTTCATGGTCGTTCGTTTGATACGGATCAGCTTTCTTGTTTGTTTGCACCGTACAGTTATCCGGAGACTCTCAGATCCCTATTTTCTAGATATTGGGCTGGATGACGTTTCACCAAGACGAGAAAGCCTTTTCAGGCGCTTGGTTTGGTCTTCTGACGAAGTCACACAGTTCGAGGCCATTCTGCGCATGCTTATGCCTCTGAACTGGATCTGGATGAATTACCTCTGCCTTGAGTGCTACCACGACTTTCTCTCCATCCTTTTTGTCTCTATTCTGCGGGTAGACGACATGGACCACTGGCCTCCGCTTTTCGGTAGCGTCACAGAAGCTTACACTGTCAAGCAATTCTGGGGAAAGTTCTGGCACCGAGTCACCGCCCACAACATGGCCACTCTCGCAAGGCCAACATCTCGAGTTCTTCTGCGGTGTAAGCCGGGCTCGAGGGCGGATAAAGCCGCAATCGCGTTCTTGATATTCGTTCTCTCTGGGGCCGCACATGCGGTCGTGGCTTGGAGAACCGCGGAGGGTTCTGAGATTCGCGACATCGCATTTTACGTGGCAAATTTCGCAGCTGCTGCGGCAGAGGTCTCGGTTTCACGAGCATTCTGGGGGAGCCAGTTTGTGCAGTCACTGAAGAAAAAACGCTTCTTCGAACGCAGTGTCGTTCGTATTTTAGGTCGTACAGCGGGGTTTCTTTGGGTGTATCTGTGGTTCGTTTGGCTGGTTCCTAAGTGGCAGTTCCCGAAGCTGCACAGTCAGAGAACGAAGCAACTGAAGATGGAAATCGCTCTGTTCTTTGGAGATCTGTAGTATATTAGATCCAATCCGGCGCTCAAATCCGGCGCTCAAACTCATCCTTTCAGCCCTCTATCTCGTACCCAACTCTGATAAATTTGTCCGACGCATTGCAAAACTTCTGTATAACTTTCGCCAGCTTTGTCTGTTACTTAGTTGTGGACCCGCGTTACAGAGAGGCATATGCCTGCAAGAATACTGGATTCTTACAGATCTCAGACAAGCCAAGAGTGTTCGTCATAACAACCTTCGCTGTAGAAGATGCAGCAAACGCCACAAAGCAACGCAAAAGTCTGGCGTCATGGAAGCTGGTGGCGAAGCTGAGGAAGGGTGCATGATCCTAATGCTTGGCAACACCTGGGCTATGGAGTAGACGGCCTGTAGGAATAGCTCCACGATGGTGCCCTGCGCTCAGAGAACCACTTGTACAGTGCAGTCTTGCCCACGCTCAAGCATGACAGATCAAGTCATACTTCATTGTTCCGCCGAGCTTGTGGTGGTACATCTCAGCAGGCGGGGGTATGGATGCAGTCAGGGATCTGCACGCAGCTAGATCTGTGGGGGCATGGGATCGAATCTTCAGGGGTCTTGGACCACAGAGCAACCCACGTGCAGGCCATATGATATGAGCGCCTACTTCTTCTTCGTCCTAACTCACGAGCATCTTTTTCGATCTTTTTTTAGCTTAAATGGCCGTCATTAGAAGACGAATCCGGACTGTATTGTCGTTGATAGGATTCGACCCCTGCAGTCCATTATCATCGCCTCTCAGTATCTCATGTGAAGTTGCAACAGAAGTTCAAAAAATGAGGCCAGACACTACAAAAGATTTTTTGAACAGATTATTTGCCAAGTAACGATGGATGATGAGACTTACGGCTCAATCAAGATTACCCTGTTAGGGCCGTACATGTCTGCGGCATGTGAGCCTGCCTTGAGGTGGCGATGGAATGTCATTTTCGGGCTTCAACGTCACTTTAGAATCCTCTGAAGATCTTCTGATTCTTGCAGCTTGGTTCTATAGTTGGAGAGGCGTTATCTACGAATCCTGGTCTGTCCAGGAGACTGGCCAATTCAACAAGACCGGCTTCACTCGAGGATCTATGAGAAGGATTTGGCATGCGCTGTGCGGATGATCCGCTATTGATAGCAACTCAATGATCAACCAGAGTCTATGGATAGATCTTGCTGGTGTCTGGTTGCTTGTGTTGACGTCAGGCCAAGTTGCCACCTCAGACCGTGGACATCTGAAGCAGGTAAGACGGCATGAAGCATAGGTAGGATACACAAAATGGAAATGTCTTGGACGATGTGAATGACCATAAAACTGATGATGACCTCTTAAGGGAATTAAGCCATATTAAACAGACAACAGTAACAACCGAAAGACCTCATTCCTGAACCTTACCATAAGATCATAATTCTTTTACCTCACGAACCATATTCATCTCTTTTCACGAAAGCTCCAGGCTTGTTTTCGTTACACCATAAACGCCAAGATGCGTGTTTCAGCTGTTGTTCATCCCCTCATCCTTACTCTCGCCTGCGTGGAGATAGCCGATGCAAGCTTCATCGGCGCCGCTGTCAGGGGTGTCCGTGCCGGCACAACGGCTGGTCGCATGTCGGGCAGTGTCAACACTCTGGTCCAGAATGCATTCCGCAACGTCCGCACCATGTTGACGCCCGGAACTGGCCAGATGGCTACTAGGATCAAGGATCGCGCGGCCGCTGTTCGCCAGGCCATGACCCTCTCGGAAGAGGGAAAGAAGTTCCTCAAGTTCGGCATTTTGAGCAGCACCATCTCTGGTACTGTCTCCGGCACAATCTCCGGAAATATCAGCAAGAACAGTAAGAAAACACGCCGTATGCACACCGACCGCTCCGAGCTTCTATCTCGTGAGCTCCTGGCCCGCCAGGATGAGGTTGCTGAGCCTGGTGCCGCGCCCGAAGGCATCAGCCAGTACGAGTGGGACCTCTGCTTCTGGGACACTGTTACCGCTGCCCACGTTGTAATTTCAGGCGAGAACAACTGGATCCAGATGGACGGCCTTCCCCCCATCTGTGTCATGATGAACGACAATCTGGCCGGGGACCCTGAAGCTGGCGCTGGTATCAATTGCGGTCAAGGCTGCATTCGATACGAAAACCTTTCGCCCGAGGACTTCAACTCCATGGCTGATTACCTCAACGGTCTTGTACCTTGAGCGAAGAGTCATTCAGTCATTATGGAATGTTCTCTCATTATGCAACATGCCGTTGCCTCTGTGCCGTGCGCATGTCTTCGCGAGTGCTGGGTGGTAGCGGCCATGGGAGAGGCCTGGGGTTCCAGGCAGTGGGAATCGGTTGAGAGAATCTCTCTTTCTTGTGGTCTTAGCTTTCTGTCTGTATCCGTCTTACTCAGTCGTTATCGAAAAATTCAATTACTTCACTGAAACCATGGATTTCTGGTCCTGTGTTCCGCGAGACACACAATATGAGCAGGGTTCTAGAATAGACGAACACACTACCAGTTCTCAATACCACCAGCAGCACAAAGCAGCATAGGTCTCACCAGGACGAGGCATACATGGAGATAGGTTGTTTCCTGAGGCGAATTATTAACTCTTCAGCAATTACATGACACTCCATTTTCATGCAAATGTTGGCAGGAATACTCGACACATCGAGAAGCTTGCGTCTAGTCCTAACGCATCTGGATCAATACCACCCTTTTTGACCTCTTGTAACTGAAAATGGTGTCGTGGAATCGACCTGAACTTACACTGGCTCATGTTTGTTGTGGACCACCTATCCAAGTGGCCAAACGGAGTTGAGATGCACATGTGCTCTACATTTTGTCATCAGAGATAGTCATAGGTAATATAATACAAAAGAATGACTTCCTATGGAGTGATTTAATGGAAGAGTATTCCTGCTTGAGAACTGTTTACGACTTCCACTTCCACTTCCAGAGGCCATGTCCGGGCACCCTCATTGCCTCGGCTCTAACTCCAGCCACAGACACAGCTGCCAGTGCCATCAATACTCCTACCAGAACTGATTAGTCGTGTAACTGTTGGCGTCTCTCAGCACATCGTGGCCCTGGACTAGTACGCCAGCGACAGGAGTGCCCACAAGCGTGGCTAACCCATGCAGCATGTAGAAAACCCCGCCCATGCGAGGAATCTCCTTGACCCCAAACAGCTCAATCAGCGCCACCGGGAACAGACTGATGGATGCGCTAGCAAACAATCCGTATAGGACGGTAAAGCTGATGAAAAGGTTTTTCGCTGTTGGTTCGTTGACGGTTCCGATAAGTGTACTGGGGACCCACAAACCCAGGCTGAAAATGGCGGTGAGCAATGTCGTTAAGAAGAACGAGTTGAGCCTTCTAACTCGATCCGAGATGAACCCCACCGCAATCTTGCCGACAGCATTGCAGGCATTACTCAACGCTGTCAGGTTTGCCCCCTCTCTCTCATCGTAGCCTAGCGATTTGGCATAGAGGACTGTGAAGAAGACCGGTGTGTAATAAGCAGTGCTCTGGAAGATAGTACTGGCAGCTTGCAGAATAAATTTCGGCTGCTTCACAGTCTGCCAGTCGGGAAGGGGAATTTTGAAGAGTGCTGTAACAGGGGACAGGGCCTCATTTTTGGCGGCGAGGTGATTCGCCATGCTCGGCTCCCAATCAAGAAAAGACCCGGAAATACATATAATCGTGGTAGCCAGACATGCCGTCAGTCGCAGGGTATTTCGGAAGCCGATGTTTTCGATACATGCCGAGATTGTTGGTGCCCAGACCAAGCCGCCGATGCCAGTGCCGGCAGAAATAAAACCCATCGCTAAGCCCCTTCGTTTTTCGAACCATGTGGGTGCAATGGTCATAGACGGGACAAGTGATAGGCCTGTCGCGATTCCCAGTAGCAATCCCTGAGCCAGCTGAAAATGCCACAGGACCTTGCCGAAATTCGCCAGAACGCTCGCGACGCCAAAGAGGATGCCGCCAGCCCATAGGCCGTATTGAGGCTTGAAATATTTGACCCAAGCCATGACAAATGGAGCAGTTATTGTCATGAGCGACGCTGAAAGCGTCCCTATGAGGTCTATTGTAGCCGAAGAGGCCCCAGTGAAGGGGCTTCCCTCTTGAAGCACCATGGTTTCGTAATGCTCCTGGTAGACACCAAATCCAAAGAGTTTTACCGCAGGCCGTGGAATTGATCATAAATGCGGCCAGAATAACTGTAACGTATTTCCTTATGTTTTTATCAGTACCTTGATGAGATGAATCTGAGATGATTCTCCACGTTGCTCACCACTTTGGATACTGGATTCCAGTGGGATCGCCGCTCAGGGCTGGGGCTGGTTCAGTCATGGTTCAGTGTGGGATCGGCCTCGATGGGTGAGTATGGCTGAAAACTCTGAAGCTTTCGGGCCACCAGAATATGAATACATATTTGGACACAAGGTGGTGAATCGTTTGCCTACATAGTGCGATATACCCAGCCTCCCATGACACCCTCTAGGTTCTCTATTGCTGTGTCATACTCCGTATTAGCCGCACAGATGAGGCAGGACTTTGCGATCAAGCCCCACCTGTTGGCATCGCCGCTGTAATCCATTGGATGAAATGAAATGCTATGCGGATTTGAAATGCAAAGGGAATGAACACCGAGGCGCAGACTGCCCAATATTCGCCAATGATGCCTCGGGAATCCCGCTTGAGAACCTAAGCAACGAATAAAGCACAATATGATATATATTTTCAGTAAAGCGGCAATGTGGTGGATGAAGAATTTGCCGCCAGCTCAGAGATGGCATGCGAAGCTAAACTCACAAACTTGGACATGACGAGGGGCAATACGTCAAGGCTCAACCACTAGAATTCACACTCTCTGTAACATTCTGACTTTTGCGAAGAGTCGAAAAACGAATGGGAGGATGCAGGAGTAAAATGTTGGAATAAACTTGTTTTTTCGGAGGAATTGTACACGATTGCCGACGTAATCCTTACTCGTCTGAGAACAGAGACCCCGCCAAGTACTTCAATCCAGTGTCGCAAGCAACTGTAACGACCTTTTTGTTCGGCCCCAACTCTTTAGCGAGCTGAATTGCTGCAACTACATTAAGGCCCGATGATGTTCCAACCAATAGACCTTCTTCCCTGGCCAGCTGGCGGCACATGCGACGAGCAGCCTCTTCATCCACTGTACGGACTTCGTCATATAATTCTTGATCGATGTGGGTCGAGATAAACCCGGGTGCGATGCCGTCGACGCCATGCGAGCCGCTCATGCCTGTAGCCAACAAAGCCGCTGAGCTGGGTTCAAGTAGGATAACTCGAACATTCTGGTTCCGAGATCTGATCGCTTTGGACACGCCCATAGTCATGCCAGCTGTTCCAAACGCACCACAGAAGACATCGAAGCCGTCAGGAAATTGGCTGTTTAGTTCGTGGCCGATCTCTGCGTAGCCGATAAGGGCGTCACGATTGCTGAATTGATCGGTATAGAGATACTCGTCGGTCGACCCGAGATCTGCGGCCCTATTCTTCATCAATATCATCAGGCTTGCCGTTGCTTGTCCTGTGGGACTGTGTGTGACGTCGACCGCCGCTCCGAATGCAGACATCGTTCGCAATTTCTCCTTTGCATACGCGTCGGACGATAAGGCCAGGAACTTATACCCTTTGACGGCGCAGATAAAGGCCAAAGACGACCCGGTGCTGCCGCCTGTAGCTTCGATAACTGTCATGTTGGATCTAAGCTCTCCGCGGCGCTCGGCTTCTTCGATCATGGATCTGGCCATGCGGTCTTTGTAAGAGCCTGTGGGGTTCATGTATTCGAGTTTGACGTAGACATCGGCGCTGCCTTCCGGAACGACATGCTTGAGCTGCACAACAGGTGTATTGCCAATGGTATCCAGAATCGTAAGAGCTGGGGGCGGAGGAATGGGAGCCATGGTTGGAAATGATGTTCGATTTGCCTTGCAGAACCCAACCAAGGAAGAGTAATCGGCAACGAGGGAGGGTTGGCTTGTTATATTCGTACGGCGAACGTGCGGGCCTTGCAGCGCCAAAGTTACAACGATCGCAAATCATCTCCTTCTCCGCCAGGAGCGGGTCTCCTTGATTTTTCCTCGTTTTGGTCAACTGAATGGTTTGAGCTTTTGGAGAAGGTTTTCTTTGCGTCGCGCTCTTCACCGTCCACAGAGGGGGTGGCAGCACTAGAGGCCGGAGAAGCTGTGTCGCATGACTCGAGCAATGCACTTCGGGATGAAGCGAAAAGGGATGAGGAAGGCAGATGCGATCAGCCCCGCTGTGCAGCTTGACAAGCCGCTAGGTTGAATTTACTCTAGCTTTCTACGTAATCAAGGAAGGCGGATGCGATCGGTTCTCCTCTGGCGACTCTTTCCAATGACTCACGTTCAGATCTTGTCTACCTAGGTACGGTGATGTATCAAGCTGCCTCGGGCAATGATAAACGCGACCATGGCCGCGTAAGGCTGACTCCTTCATCATGTCGTCGTGCGCTGTGGTCATTCCGCCACGGGCAGATAAACGCTCATCTCAAACCCGTTGGTATAGGGTAGGGTCAGATTGCGAAACCCATTCCTCGGCTCTCGCAGATATGCCAGTAGGTCCTTATATCCTTCAGCGCCAGATATCGTATTGTCTGTCAGGACGACTGCGCCGTATCGCAGGCGGGGGAGGACGACCTTGAGTGTGGGGAGAGCGAGGGCCGACCAGACTAAGTAGGTATTCATAAGTAAGCGGGGCCCAAAGGCCATTTTTGAAACATAGCAAAGACAGACTCACTGTCAAGGAGTAGAAGATCAACCTGCGGTAACCCTTCCTTCAGGGTTTCAAGCAGATTGCCCACTCTCAAGTCAATCTCTTGCTCGACTGTCGGGCCGCAGCGTGCCCAGTACATGCGCGCAATCTCTGCCTTTTGCGTCTCCTTTTCGGTCGCGATGACAGTCCCAGGCTTTCCGGTGGCGGCTTTTGTTTTGCCAACTGCAAGAGCCAGATAGATGGTGCTGACTCCAAAGCTGGTTCCGGCTTCGACAACGTTGGTAGCTCCCATCGCATTGATGAGTTGGTACGTGAATTGGCATTTGTCTTCGTCTAATGCAATGAATTTATCGAGCATAAGCTTGTCGAACTCGTTTGCAACCTGTACATGAACGTGTTCATCTTCCAGGTCGCCGATGACCTCGGAAGAGAAAACTTTCTTCCCAGTTCTTGAAATGGCCGCTTCCTGTTCCAGGGATTTTTGATGAAGCTCCGACAGGAGTTCAAGGACGTGATCCGGAGCATCGATAGGGGAAAGAGATGGCATGTTGTGATCTGAAGCGTTTGAGACTGTGAAAAAAATGTAGGCAAACGACAAAGTATATCATGAACACGGACATAATAAGCATTGGGAATGCGCAGTTCTTATACTTAAGCTGTACTTGGAGCACCCCTCAGTGTGGCTGCGTGATGCAGCTTGCTAGCTTGTCTTGGGCCAATGTGCTTGGCCTGGCGGCATGGATGCCGGCAAGCATTTGCGAGGCCGATTCCGTTTTGGCTCCTCTATAGTCATCCCCAACAGGCTTTCGCTCCCGAAGCTGCGTTGAATGTGGAACCTGAGATGTTGCCGCTTTAACCTGAGTTCAGGGTGGAGCAGGGTGAGCAATGAGTTATCGTCCCTGGTCTACCACTTGGCCTGGCAAGCCTGGCAGGGCTTGGGCGTAGCACAGATCAGCGTAATATGGACATCACCAGCACGCGATGCCACCCACTCGTATTTCATCTTCCTGCCAATGTAACTCACCCATCCTGTTTCTCCAGTCTCAATTTTACCAACCAAGACGTTGTCTATTTCTCTGAATCACTTATCAAACACCATTAACCACATGCTCCCTCGCATCTCCAGCTCTCGAGACTCTGGACCAGACGCCACGAAGAAAGGGGTTACGGCGACGGTCATCTACTCTAGCGACAGCTCCATGCCTTCTGGTCTCACACGGGTGATAGCATAGCGGATGCCTCAAGAAAACAATTCTCGACACGCTGGTCAATGGTACTCGACTCCTGCTTCCGGCACGCAGCTCGGATCCTTTACTTTTTGATTCATGGTTCTGCCCTCTCCAACCCTTAGTTGGAGGTGCTTTGCTGGCACGGGAGGGCCGCCGGCGGTCGCAACTGCTGGCTGATCAACCGCCTCAACGCACCCAACCTCCTTCAGTGGCGCCCATGTCCTTACGCCGGCCGACGTGTTTGAAAGTCCGGGCTCTTTTTTGCTGCTTGGACGGTCTGATTCCAAGGTCAAATCGATCAGTTCAGTCATGCTCTCCCATGCGTCGCTCGTTTCCCCATGCCAAAGCACCCAGAATGTGTGACCCAGTGCGATGAGGGCGTGGGCCATCAAGATTGCCATGCAGAGGCGATCGAACCACCCTCGAGCTGACATGACATAACTTGGGAGGATCATTTGAAGCTTTACGCTGACCATATCGTAGGCGCCTTCAGGACTGAAAGCTGTTTTCGGCTTGTCCAAGTTCACCAGCTTTTTCGCAGTCTCGGCTGTCCACGAGTGTGATACGAGCGGCTCCAGCATGGCGCTGTAGGTCGACGTCAGGAAGCTAGATGATCGGGACAGTCCATCGACGACAGTAACAGCAAGTGCGAGCTCGGTAGCCTGGAGGGCACCCCATCTTTGAAGGGTATCGAAAAGAGCCAGGTTCAGGATACTCTCGACAGTGGTGACTGACGTGTCGTTGGGCTGATTTGGACTAACAGGCACCTTGGCCCCGAGATCATCAAACCAAGCGCTCGATAATCCCACGCGTTCCCACGAGCCGTCCATCGGTGCAGTGAAGTCGCGCCACCTAAAGTCCTCTGTGCCTACCTCACTGTCCACAAGAATGTGGCCCTGATCGGCGGCAAAGTTATACTTGATGGCTCGATAGTCCTGGTCGACAGTCATCTTGCCGGCTGCCCACCAAGAGTCGACAGTGCAACTCATGGTCTCCCACGATTGGACTTCGACATCCGCAAGGCGGAAGAGGAGAATACCAAGATAGTCGAGTCCCCCATCATTAGTGGGCAAGTCCACGGCGACAGCGAAAACCCCTGGGCCATTTCCTTGGCTCAACCGAGCCCTCACTGGGTCGGTCATGTCAATATGGGAGAGATTCGTCCATGCAGTTCCCCCTTTATCCAGATATCTTGGGCGGCCGTGGCCTGGATATATGGGGAATGACCCGAGGACCTCAAACCTTTCTTGTTGTGTGGAAAAGCTTCCTAACCACTCGTTGCAAACGATCCGAACCGCTGGGATCTTTGTCTCAACAACGGCGATCCTTGTGTCGCCGTAGCCCAGCAAGTCAGGATCTGGATGAACGATGCCTTTTGATTTCGTATCCCTCAGGTATTTTGAGGCACTGCCCCAAAGAGTATGCCATGCTGCTTGAGTCGTCGCAGTGGGCGTGTGAGCTGTGATGGCCCACGTGTCGATAACGTATTGGCCGTTGAGGCGGAGCCTTGCATGGACGTTCTTCCTGATTCGTGAATCTTCCAGCTCAAACGAGATCAGATCGTTGACAAAAGTTCGTTGGCGATTTCGAAACACGTTGTAGATTGAATGGTAGCCGTGAGCAAGGCATTCTGGGCTACAGGATCAGTTTTGGGGCAATCGCTCAAGGGGACGGGCAACGGCTGATGTGTCCACATGTCTGCCTGTGATCCTGTCAAAACTTAGCATGCATGCTGGGAAAGAATGGGCCAGAAAGTCAACAATACCATTGAGCCGAAATCTGCCTCCGCCCGCTGGCCAATCCATTACTCGAGGGACCATCAGGACAGCGCTGCTTGGACCAGCAAGGACGGTGATGATTCCGGACACGAACAACAGCAGGACCAATCCGAATTTCCGAAGTACAGATGCGTGCTTGTATTTTACGGAGCCCCAGAGGTCGGATGACCAGAGGTAGCTGAGGAATCGGTTAGCAAGAGTTGATTCGGACTCTGTCTGCAATTCTTTCTCTCACCTCAGTGTTGTGAAGCGAAACCCGGCGCCCATCCACCCCAATGGAATACCTGGCCCGAATGTCATTTCCGATCTCACAACATGAAATATAACTGTCGATAGACTCGCCACGATGAGTAGCTCCTGCACCTTCGCGCAGAGCTGGAGGACCCCTAACTTGATGCTGTCAGAGCCCCGCCAACCTTGGAGACGTGTGCCGGTAAAGTAACCCATCAAGTTGATGGAGATGAGTATGATAGAGATCATTGCTGGCAATAAGTGTACTATGCAACGAGCGAGGGCTGCTTTGCGTGAAAGTACAAAAAGGCTCTTCGGCGGCTCAGGCCCTTTGCGGATGGTGATTATCTCAAGGCCGACGGCGCGAATGGCTCTCGCATATCTTGTAGTGATGGAGATACAGCCACGACCAACCTTTCTCCATGGCTCATGCCATTTTGGCCTTGGAGGAGGTAACTGTGCTGGCTGTGCCATCGCAGAGGCTGCTTGTGGTTGGAAGTAAAGCTGGCAACGTGGCACACGTTCCGATCAGGGCTAACCTGAGAATTTATATATGTGTTCGAGCTCTGCAGCACATTCTCAGCTGGATGTGCCAAGAAGGCTCCCAGCCTGGTCCTCTATGGCGGCAACTCTGGCGAGCAGGTTCCGGTCATACGGAAACGTTGCCACCAATGGTAGCTGCATGGAAGGATTCATAGCTGACACGTAGCTGGTGTGGTCACATTCTACCACACCAGAAAGAAACAGAAACCACAATTGCATCCGCGATCACTCTGACCTCATGTTTCCCGGTAGGGGGCTCCCAATCAGCCCTTCCTTCAACTTGCTTCATGGAGACGCGGTTAGGCTGTGTCGGCTACCTAGAATCCTCCTCTGGATCTACCAGTCGTCAAGACATGGTACTACAGGTTGTTTAGAACCCGAGGGCATTCCAAAAAAGCTCCGGGCCTCCAGCCTGTGATGCGAAACAATCGATCCCTTAGCTCCAAGTTTTCAGCTATCTCCCGTCTGTGAAGAAAGTCACATCCCAGTGGTTCCCCTCGTCCTAAATCCGCGTCAGCACTCGAATGTCCAAGCAAATTGAAGCAACTCACCACATAGATGTTCCCGGAACGAGCCTTGTACCGGCTCGCGCCATCGGAGCGGTTCGAGATTCTCGTGAACGTCCCCCTCACATATCGGTTGAGGGCCGCGTTCTTGGCAAAGTCGAGCTTATACCCCGTGCTGTGAGAGTATTTGCCCGTTGGGTGGCCGACCTCGGTGCCGCTGGTGATGATAAGGCTGCACTTGCACGCCTTCTTCAGCGTGATGGCGCCAGCGACGGTCGTTGCCCGGATGCCGGAGAAGGACGTGCATCTTGGGTTGGACTTGGTCGTGCAGGCACCCGTAGAGCGCGAGAGGATGCCCGCGGCCTTGAAGCGCTGCGCTGCTTGGTATTGGGTGAGCTGGGTCTGGGCGCTGATGCAGAGTGCCCAGAGGACGGCGGAGAGGAAGAGGAACAGCTGCAGCAGGAGGCGCGTTACTCTCGCATCAATAGGGATTCAAAAGGCAAGCTGGTGAGAACTCACCTTCATGACTGGCGTTGTGTGCAGATCTTGGATACTGCTTTTGAAATATTTGTCACCGCTGATGCACTGAAACAACCAGATGCACCTGATGGTAAGGTTGAGTACGACACTGTTGCAGTTCAGCCTTATACACCGCGAGATCAGCGCGAACGATCAGTGCGACCTTTTGAGATAAATACTCGCATGCAAGCCGGTGCAATGCTGACCCGAATAGAATGTTTACATGGACGGAAATAGGTGCTCGGTTGTGTAGGCCAATGATGGATTGTATGTCACCGGCGCCTAGGCTCACGATTGGTTTAGTCTACTATGTAGAGCATTACAAGGGTCGTGCATGATACCCCAGGCAGGCCACAAAATAAGGCCCAAAGGCCTGTCAACATGCGGAAAATAGACGCCGTGCACGTCTCGTGCCTCAATTATGAGAGCATGACCATCAAATAGGGATGGGATAAGTTTGTGTCATCAGGAAGACTCACCATCGACATCCGCGTTCGGTTCCAGTACCAAGCTCCAATGCGAAAGTCTGTTTGTCTCGTCCAGGCAGTTTCGAAAGATCACGTCCGACCTCAGGAGCAGAATACCTGGTCGGTTATGTTCGCCGATGAATCAGGCTCCTCAAATTCTACCTCCGTAAGCGCCTTCTTCGCGGCGTCACTGTGCCCTGAAGCTGCATCATCTTAGAATTCCTGGCTGCCGCCAGAAGCCCCTCCTTTATGACCTCCTTGATTGCGGACCCCGATATATTACAATCCCTCCTCGACTTCATCAATGAGGTAGTGTGGCTCCAGAATTTTGGCATAACTCCAGGCAAAAGCCTCGAGCTTGCTTCGTAAGGAGACACTTTCCTCGCTGTTCGCGGGAATCAGCCAATTCTCCGACTTATCTCATAATACTTCAGCCAATGTGTCCCAAGCGAGCTTCTTTAAGTAGGATTTCTTGACCGTCATGTCGCATGCAGCGCACCTGCATCATGTGCGGACGGAATATTGATGCCTTTGGACAATGGCCCTCTGAGTTGGAGTGAAAAAGAAAAAGGGCAATCAATCGGCGCAAACCTTTAGGATTCCTCACTGATAAAAGTGTGCTGAGGGTCTGAGCATTATGCAAACCAAGGAGCAGGGACCTCGCCATCAACGCAAAGCCACCATCGCAGCGCCTCGGATTTACCAGAGGAATCTCGTAGGTCCTGCTGCTTCCAAATTGACTCGATGAGGCTGCGCATGACGCGAACATTCCCAACGTTTCGAATTTCGTCCATTCGCTCCAGGACTCTGAGGATTTGAACGCGTTCATCTTCTGTGCGTGCTTCGCAAGCGGTGATGAAAACTGGCCAGGGGCTCGTGGCCACCCGGACCGTTCTCAACGCTGCAAAAATCTGTTGTAAGTATGCAGCGCTTCGCATGTCGTCACCGGGGGCGGGAACGACGCGCTGTAGATACAGTAGAGCTGCTAAGCGATATAGTTCGGCAGTCGCCGATGCGTCTTTAATTTGCACAGCCGAAGAGCTGGCCGCTTCATCGGGGCTGAGGTGCTGGGAGGCCATTCGCAACCTCTCTTCCAAAGCTACTCGCTGTTGGGACTGTTCACCCGGATCAAAATTTACGCTTGAGTCCGACAACGTCATGCGCATTTGATTGATGAATGAAATGCTACTGAAAACATCGGTGGAGCATCCGAATAGGCCGATGATCTTGATGCAAGTCAGCCAAGTCCAGGAGCGTTAGAATCAAACTCACCAAGTTTGACGTGGGTTGCAGGTTGTTTGAGTAAGATAATATGCGCAAATCTCCTCGAATTCTTCGGGAAGGTTGGGCGAAGCTGCTTAGAACGTCGTAGTAGAGTACCCAGTTCATGAGAAAATCGGACACCGGGCGCTGCTGTTGATGCCATTGCAGGCTGCGCAGAATCCTTTTGGCGCCATCGAGGTGCAAGTGAAACTGAGCCTCCTGCTCGTCAAAGACCTAATTCCTGTTAACTGCGAATGCTCTTTTGAGTTATCCAAATCGGGCTTACGCTGTACATGCACAGCATCATAGTAGTAGCTAGCTGTGCCTCTGCATCTGCATACCAACCACAGCTTGATGACGCTGCCAGTGACTCATGGAGACCCTTTATTGCACTTATCTTATATTCAAGCGCGGCACCTGGTCCTTGGCGATGATATGCAGAGATGGCTAGCAAAGAGCTGCACAGAGCTGTTGCGGACCCATCTCGAGAGGACAATACTACCGGCATGATCTGATCATGGAAGCCATTCCTCGCCCGAGTTGTTGAGCACATTGGGGCTATGATCTGCTCATCTGTAGCGTGTGAGCTGGAGAACGGGCATGGTTTGCCGGAGGATACAAACAATACGCTAAAAGAATGGCATCTTCGCCAACGATTGGTGAATGCAGCGACAGGGAATGGGGTGGCCCTGCATATGTTCTCTCTATGAACTGACGCCAAGTAAGGCCTTTTTCCTTCAGGCAGAAGTCCATCCAGGTGAAGTTCAAGAACCTGGAGTGGTTGTCCTGAGGGCTATCATGGGGACTCGTGGCGTTGGCCACATGGCATAAGATGAGTTCTCCACGCCTTGCAGAAGGCTCATCAGGCCAGACCAATCGAATCCCGTAGCCTGCACATGCTCTTTTTGTTCGAAGACAGTTGTTACAATGAGGAATTGTCCTGTCACAACCAATTTTGCGGTCTAGCATCAAAGTAAGTATTTTAGACTGGTTTTGCAGGCGAACTGGGGTAAGGGCCCGAAACTCCTTACTCTTGCACGTCCAACAACCCTGCGGCGCTGTCATGGTGGAGATGAGTCTGTAGATGCTTCATTGTGTAATCAAGAGCTCCTTCTTCACAAGATGACTGTCCCGCAATGAAGTGCTGAAGCCCCGCACGATGACTAAGGGCTATGTTAACCGGTTCTTGTCTAGTCCCATTCCGGGGCGCCGTGGGCCGGAAGGGAATTGAATTGAGACAGACATGGCTGCTATCTTGTTAGCGGCCATGCCCCGCAGGTGAGGTTTGAATGTGATCATCACATTGGCCATGTGGAAATCGCGGACCCTTATGATGAAGGTATTGCCCTCGCGCGAGGGTGCGCCATGGACACCTTTGGTGAGCGAAGGAAGAGGGCTCAGCGAATGGCCCAGGGCTTTTGCGACGTAGGTGGATATCTCGAAAGGAAAACTTCGCGTTTTCAAGTCTTCGAGGAAGAACATTGCGTACTCGGCGAGCCGATTCTTAGGGGAAAACATGGCAGAAGTCAGTACGAGGACTAGAGTAAGCCGCGACTACTACGATTGATGAATTTATCCGTCAGTGGTGGCTCTGCTGACTCACACGGTACCTAGTCTTATCAAATACAGGCTCCTGTTGTCCTGCGGGGCCACGGCACAGGGGGCTGGTCAGGGGCCAAGGGCTACGAGAGCATATATAAAAGGACCGCGGAGGGTCACAGTTCAGATGTATTCCAACCACCAACCTTTATTCTTTTGCTGTGGACTACGTGCGGAAGGCCTCTTCACTCTACTCCAAATCAAACACTAACAATACCTGTGCCAACAATTCACATGCGACTACCGCCCAGACCATGATATGATTTCTGCAGGTTCAAAATGTAATCCGTCTCAAGTCAAATCCCTCGGTTATCTTAACGCCTTTCATAAGATTAGGTGCTAACAACACCATACTTTTCATCCCATGTATTCATGTTTTATTTCTTCTAGTCTAGCTTTATTCTATGCCGAGTCCATAAACCAAGCGCCAAATGACACTCGTGTATAAACGCAAGTGAGGGGCCCAAATCAAACCCAAAAAAACCCCAGACTACAGTTTAGATCGAAACGCGAGGGACGCCTTCTTCCTCTTAGTCTCACGCGCGAGGACCAAAATAGCTGCTCCAGCGGCCATACAACTTGCAGCAAACATTTGGGCATTCAAATAGTCAACCCCGCCTTTGATCAACGTTCCTGAGACTGCCGGTCCGATGAGGGCACCGAAACCGGACACGGTGTTAACCATGCCAAGAAGCGTGCCTTGCTTCTGCGGGTCAAACCTTACAGAAGCCAGCGCAGTAGGCGCAAGCGACTGTATCCCGCCCATCGATAGGCTGAAGACCACAGTCCATCCATACAACCCTCCGACGGTCGTCACCAGGGCCCACAGAAAGACGACCAGAGACGTGATTGCCACGTGCACAACGAAGAGATTGAGAGGGCCAATGATCGGAGAGATGAAGCTGGGGGCGAGACGACCGACGATGCCGACGCCATTCAGAACCAGAATCAGGTTCAGAGATTGGGTGTACTCCAACCCCAAGGCGCTGCGAGCGTATGACGCCAGGTAGAAGATTGGAAAAAAGAGGCCAATGTAAACCTGTGGACTGGAGTCAGTTTTGATATTATACAGAACACGGGTAACGGCGTAGAGTCTAAAATTACCATAAACGATCCAACGGCAAACAACTTGTACTCAGGGATCAAAAAAGCGCTCCAGTCGAAGAATGCCCCTCCGATCTTGGGTGTTACCCTAGACCGGACGACAACCAGGGCCGCAATTAACGTTACCAGCTGGATAAGCCCAATGGCCCGCATTGTCCAACCGAAACCAATAGTCGGCAGCAGCGTTCTAGCCATGCTGGGAAATACGAGACCGCCGACAGTGCTACCGCAAGCTGCAATAGCCAAGGCCACGGCTCGCTTCCCCGTGAAGTAGGTCGAGATGACCGTCATGGTCGGAGTGAACATCAAGCCGTTGCCTAGGCCTGTGCAAACACCTTGCGCAAGGAACACCTGCCAGTAGGCTTTGGAGATTGATGTCATGAAAGTCCCGATAAGAATGAGCAGACTGCCTGCTGTCATGGTGCTCCGGAAGTACCCTGCGTCGGTCAATGCCCCTGCTATGCTGCCCACAAAGAAGAGCAGGAAGACTTCGAAAGACCCAATCCAGGAGATGTCAGAAGAAGATCGTTCAAGAGCCGTGACGTAGTAGGTTTGGAAGACGCCGAAGGATATGAAGACTCCCCTGTTCTCATTTTAGCCGTTGCAGGTGGCAAGTGAAGACGAGAAATGAATACTAACCAGGTGTTCATGATGACGAAGAAGCCTGACACAACTTTGACCCGATGTTAGAAGAGATTCCCGATAGCACATGTCAAGCCACAAAAGGGTTGCGTACCAGACAACCACGCCCAAAGCCCACCTTCGGGTGGTTGAGTTTCGGAACTCCCAGAGGAGCCTAACGGCGCGCTCTCGATCGATGCTTCGTCGTGGGTCATGACGCGTTGGTCGCTTCCATTTCGACTCTTTTCGATCGTTGAAAACATTTTTGGGGGAGTTTTCGCGTCAGGCTTGCTGAGCTGTTTGCGAGAGGTCATTCGGGCCGTGTCAAAGTCGCATCCGATGTAGACTGGAGTACGACTAAGGGGAGGGCTCGATAATGCGTTTTCTTTTCCAGGAAGAAGTAGATTAAAGATGGTGTTATGTAGGTACTATGTTTTTTCCGCGACATTGTGATACCAGGATTTACCTGTGAGAAGAGGTTTCTGATGTCTTATATGGAATCAGTCGTCCTCTTGATCCAAGGGGCGAGTGCCAAAGAATTTCCCCCTTACTAACCTTATGATCGAGAGATTCCAATTGAGGAAAATAAAATCGATGCTTACGGTTGGCTCTGGCTTTGTAAAGAGTAGTGTGATTTGTCAGTTGCAGAAGTGCTGTGCTCGTCTGGTTCGGATTAGAGACTAGGCCAACTGTAGTAATTAAACCCGCGAACCACTATAACGTATGTAAGTAATGTCGCCAGCGTCAACAACTACGATGGAGAGTCGGCGATTAATTAGGGCATTTCATTACGTCTTGTCTGGCACTCCGTAGGGTCGAGCTTAATAATTTCATCTTGCCGTGGTTGATAAGGCTTAGCAAGCTCACGCGGTGTGTCCGACGAAAGGTTTTCAGTTCGAACGGACGACAAGCTGGGAATATCTTGGTTGAGAAGTTTCCAGGTTACATTGAATGCTATATCAACCAGTCTTAATTCCCATTTCCAAAAAGCACTGCATCCAGTTTTCCTCAGATCAGCTCACTCAAGCACTTGAACAGTCGAAACACCACCCACAGCGCAGCCATGCCTACTTGCCCAGGATTCAACAGCAGCGTCAGCATGACCTTCATCGGCACAGCGACCTCTATTCTCGACATCGACGGTGTCAAGTTCCTGACCGATCCCTTCTTCGCGCCGGCCAAAACTTCCTATCAACACCCCGAGCGCGGGTACCAGCTCTTTAACCACGACGAACCCGCTCTGACCCTCAAAGATCTTCCTCCTATCGACGCCGTCCTGCTCAGCCACGAAGACCACTGGGATAACCTTGACGAGCTCGGCCGCCAGCTCCTCGACGGCCGCCATGTATTCACGACGATGGACGGTGCGAAGCAACTGGCACCTCGGCCAGGCGTCGTCGGCATGGGGCCGTGGCAGGAAAGCACGATTGCCTTGGGCGGCACGACGTTCCGTATCACGGCTACGCCCGCCGTCCACGTTCCCGGCGACGAGTGCACCGGGTTCATCCTCACGACCGAGTCTTTCGGCAAACACCCCGACGGCCGTCCCAACGCCCTATACTTCAGCGGCGACACCGTGTACACGGACGAGCTCCCTGCGATGGCCGACAGGTTTCATATTGCTGCGGCTATTATGAACATTGGCGATGCCCGTTTCCAATTTGAGCCGGAGCCCGCCCCGAAGACCCAGATCACCATGGGCGGTAAGGACGCGGCCCAGCTGTTCCGCGCCATCAAGGCCGATTGGATCGTGCCCATGCACTTTGACGGTTGGGACCACTTCACGCAATATCAACAGGAGCTGACGAATGCTTTCGAGGAGGCTGGTGTTCATGGGCATGTCATCTGGCTCAAGCTTGGAGAGCCGGTCAAAATCCTTTGAGACGGGCGATCGGACATATACATAGAGAACGTCGAGAATTGAATATAGACGGATATGCAAGATCGACTGCGTTGCCTAAGCGTCTGGGTGTACACAACTCGGTGGTTTTTCCAAGCCTCAGCATGTATTCGTTGTGAGGAGTATGCACCGCGTTGCGATACCACAGCAAGGTCGTAGTCGCAAGCCAAGCTTGCCTCCTTTTTACAGCCCTGGCCGATCCAACAAGGTTCGTCATGAGAAGTAGGTTGAAAAACATAATCAGCCCTTGCTGAATCCATCGTTAGGAGCTCGTTTCTTACCTGTCTATGTATGTATGCTCGAGCTATACGCAAGGCTATAGGTATCATTCCGACGTGCTCGCTGGTACTCGAACCTGCTGCACGATTTAGGGGCAGCCCAAGTACCTGCCAGCAGCGAGGCTTCAGCGGGGAGGCCCCAGCAGCGAGGCTCGCATTCATGCGGGCACGTGCCCAGCCGAGCGCCTCAGCAGGCCCAAGCTCCCTCCCCTCTCTCCCCTCACTTTCCCTGTTCCTCGATCCGCACACATCCTCGGCATTTCGCCCATCCCCCCCAAGCCTCCTCATCTCAACGGATATCCAACTCCGTGTCATCAGGAGAGGCCGTCTCGCATCATGGTCATCACCAACCATGTGACCGAATTGGCGGAAAGGCTGCATCGACAGGCACCATTGACGAAGAACATCGAAGCATCGACCTGAGCTGCGAATCTCGAGTACACATACACAAAGGCACCAGACACCATAGACATCACCATGGTTGGCCCGCCACCTCTCACCGGGCTCAAGGTCCTCGAATTCGCCGGCCTTGCACCAGGCCCCTTTGCCGGCATGCTCCTCGCCGACGCCGGCGCCAGCGTCCTCCGCATCGACCGCGCTGTGCCCCAGGCCGACGGCAAGGGGAAGCCCCTGCCGACCGAAGACATGCTCGCGCGCCACAAGGCCTCGATCGCCGTCGACCTCAAGGCCCCCGCCGGCGTCGCCCTCGTCAAGACGCTCGTCGCCTCGGCCGACATGCTCATCGATCCCTTCCGACCAGGCGTGCTCGAGAAGCTCGGCCTCGGCCCCGACGTCCTCTGCGCCCTGAACCCGCGCCTCATCTACGGCCGCATGACCGGCTTCCGCCGCGACGGCAAGTACGCCGCCATGGCCGGCCACGACATCAACTACCTCGCCGTCTCGGGCGCCCTCGGCGTCCTCGGCCGCGACGGCGAGAAGCCCCATCCGCCCTGGAACATCCTCGCCGACTTTGCCGGCGGCGGCGCCACGCTCTTCCAGGGCCTCCTCCTCGCCGTCGTCGCGCGCCACGCCACCGGCCGCGGCCAGGTCGTCGAGGCCAACATGGTCGACGGCGCGAGCTACCTGACGACCTTCCCGCGCTTCGCCCTCAAGACGCCGCTCGGCAGCAACGGCCGCGGACGCAACCTCCTCGACGGCGGCTGCCCGTACTACGACACGTACGAGACGAGCGACGGCAGGTACATGTCGGTCGGCGCCCTCGAGCCTCAGTTCTACAAGGCCCTGATCCGGGGCCTCGGCCTCGAGGGCCAGGGCTGGGAGGCAAAACGACAGGATCCGCAGGTGTGGCCCGCGATGCGCGCCCTCTTCACAGATGTCTTCCTCTCGAAACCCCGAACGGAGTGGGAAGCCATCTTCGACGGCACCGACGCGTGCTGCACGCCCGTGTTGGAGTACCCCGAGCTCGAGTCGGAAGCGGGGCGCGAGGGCGACCAGCGCCCCGCCGTCACGCTCGTTGAAACACCATGCCTTGCCGTCGTCGCAGGGGCCAAGGATGCGCGCCAGGGCCAAGGGCCCGGGGTGCCCGGCGATGGATACGTCGGCATCCCGCTGCGTCCTGGAGACGGCGGCGAGGCTGTGCTGCAGGAATGGCTGGGCTGGAGCAGCGGCAAGGAGTTTGAAGTGCTGCGAGGAGGCTTGGTCCTCAAGTCAAAACTGTAGACTCGAGCAACTTTGGGAAATCAATTGACGACCGATCTTTGTGTACCAAACTATCAAGCGCCCATTTCACAATCTGGTGGCCCCCTGGCGATGTCCCATGCGACTCTGCGTGTCGTCGACTTGCTCTACTTCCCGCTCAGCTTGACCGTCCAGTGCACCAGCGTCTCGTCAATCTCCTCGGCGTGCGCCCCCTTGCCGAGACCGAACGGCGACAGCTTCAGCTTGGCAGCCTCGACGAACATGTCCCGCGACAACAGCCACCTCAGCACGGCACCGTACGCGCTGTCCAGGGCGCCCGAGATCCAGGCGTGGTGCGCGCTCAGCGCCTCGCCGCACATGGTGAACTTGTCGCCGCAGAACATGGCCTGGAACGGCGGGTACAGGTTGCCGAACTGGCCGGGGCCGAACAGGGCGAACGCGCCGCCGGTAAACGGGTCGTGCGACCACGCCCAGGCGTGGTGCGCCGCGTAGTCGCGCCACAGGTCGTCGAAGCTCGGCGGCTCGGGCTGGCCGGCCCACAGCTTGACGAGGCCCCGGAGGCAGACGGCGACGATGGCGTCGCTCTGCTGCGGCGCGACCTTGGTGTAGTCGGGCACGAGGGCCGCCATGCGCGACGCGTCCTGCGCCCACGAGTACGAGACCATGAGCACGTTGGCGCTGTCGGCGCCGTCGTCCCAGGACGGGTAGACGACGTTGCTGATGGGCAGGTCCGAGGACGAGACGCCGCCGTACTTGTCGTTGCCCTGGTAGAAGCGCGCCCACCAGCGCGTCTTGAACTTGATGGCGACCTTGGTGGCCCGGTCGTAGCTGAGCGCGCGGATGCCCGTGAGGATTCCGTCGTCGAGGCCGAGGCCTTGGATGTCCATGCGCTGGAGCGGCGCCATGGCCGTCGTGTTGAACACCATGCCGTACTGCGTCGGGGGCTGGGGCGTGCCGTTCTGGTCGGCTGTCGTCACCTCGATGGCCGTGCCGTCGGGGGAAAGGCCCATGGCCACGACGGGCGTCGAGCAGGTGACCTTGATGGAGGGAGTCGTCGTATCGGGCCAGCTGGAGCCTTCTATCGTGCTCCTCATGGTGTCCGTCACCACAGACATGCCGCCCTCGAGTCGGTACCAGGGATTCTTCGTCGCCGCGTTGAAGTCGCTGTAATCGCAAAGCGTCTCGGTGAGGGCCTGGTCGAAGAGCCCGGTGGAGCTGGGGCAACGATCCCGAATCAGCATGAAATACACGACACGGACCGTTTCTAGGTCTGCACGAGGTTCTGGGCTGCGTGAGGGCTTACGTATCACTCGTCTCGCCAGACATGGTTTGCTCGTACGTCAGGCCAGCCTTCAGCATGAGGTAGTCTCTGGTCGAATAGTTGTCGTTGCCATCAGCGTAGTACTGATCAGTCTGGGTGGTGAACTGGGTGAGGACGGCCGCGATGGCGGCCTCAAAGGCCGAGCCGCTGCAAGACTTTAGTCCATGTCGATAATACCAGCTGCAACACAGTACTCACTCGGGTGCCTTGGTGTTGGAGTACCAAAAGCTCGTCGGTTCGTAACCATTTCCCTTAGCATCGAGGACCCGGTACACGTAATCAACCAGCTTGTCTGGGATGTTCAGCAGCTTGGGATTATTGATGAGGTTCAAAGTCCTGAGAATCGGTCAGCCCGGGCTCCCATGGCCCAAAGCAAGCGCCTTCGGTGATTACTCACGAAGCCATGGCGGGAATATCCGGAATCCTCATCGCGCCCATGTCGTAGTAGTTATGAGTACAGGGTGTAGAGTCAGTAAAGGTGTATGTGGCACACCGGCCGCCAGCGTGGTCAGAGGCCTCGAGGATGTCGACGTTTGTGATGCCAAGGTACTTGAGCATCATGGCGACGTACAAGCCCGCGGCGCCGGCGCCGACGATGCAGATCTTGTCATCAAAGCCTCCGGCGGCGCCGTAGAGCCTGTGAGCTTCATCGAGAGAGGGGAGCGAGAAGGGAGGAAGAGGTGCCACGTCCTGGCTCTTGACGCGGGCTCTCTTTTCCTCGAGATACTTGTTGAGGTGCGATTTGGCTACAGCTGCGCGAAGACCAGGAGGCACCTCGGGCAGTATATCGGCCGAGATTCTTGTGCCACGGAGAGCCATTGTCAAAGATTTCGATGTGCTGATGAAGTATTTGAGATGATTCTGAGAAGAGAGAATCCCATAAGAACCTGAACACAAGGATGGAGAGATGGATGGGATGGCTGACGCTCGGTTTTATAGAGAGTTGTGAGGTCGTCGGGGCTCAATGGCAGCGTCCTCTCCGAGGCAACTGATAATCAAAGCTCCATATGAGAACCCCTCGCCCTTCTCCATCCTCCACGTTGGTGAACCGGTGAAGCATACGAAACACCCAATGCAAAAGTCGATCGATCCTGAGCATGTGCCCGTCCATGCAGCAGCCCATGGTGGCCAGCTGAATCACGGCGGCTCGGTTGAACATGACGGGTCAAATTCGTGACATGCGGTATCATGACGACTAGTATGAGCTGAATACTCGCCTCGGCCGGAACGAGGCAAAACATCGACAGTCCTAGCCAAGCTAAGTCGCGAGGCACCACGAGGGGGGAGGTCTGGATCCAAGCCACTAATGCATCCATTCACAAATGCGTTAGTGCTGGCCGGCGCGGACCTCGAGCCGCGAGTTGAGGGGGGTCTTGGGGGTCTCACAAAACTGGAACCTCGAGAGGAGGAGGCGGCGCTGCATTGCCTAGCCTACGGTGGGTGGCGTCCGCGGGCCGTCGCGTGGCACCTGAGATGTCGCTTGAAATGCTGCATGGGATTTTCCGACTGGCATCCTGGCCGGAGCTCTCCTTGTAGGAACGTGCTGGGAAATGGCGGCGTCGATTGGCGGTCGAAGCCGGATCCAACTGGTTGATGAAGGCCTCGCCATGTGCCGAATGGAGTTGGGCTTTGCAGGGAGGCTTTTCTCGAAAGCTGAGTTATGAGGCGCCTATCGACGAAAGGCAGATCATTGATCATCCAAGTCGAGGCATAGGTAGCTAGCTAGCTGACCGACTGCTTTGGGTTGGATGGATTCACAAAAGGCTAGAATGCGACTGGGATTGTGACGACTATTGGATGGAACGTCCGTTCGTCAGCCAATCGACCAGTCGCAGAGCATGCCGCAGCCAGCTGATTGAAACGTCGCCAAACCGTTGCGTCTCGTCTAGGTGTGATATTTCGTAGAGCCCTGTGGTGGGGTGCTCACAAGTTGTGACGAGTTGAACTGTGAGCTTGTGAGGGACTTGCACCGGGCTGAAAGCTGTCGATTGTCAACAGACTGCAAGCATCATGCTGAGCGACACACCATTTGCTGATGACCGGTGTGAGACATCTCCCCCTCCCTCGCAGATGCTGTGGCTTGAGACTCTGGCGCTGAAAAGCATACCCTCCCTGCCTTATGCAACGGCAATCGCCGGACATGGAAGTGCAATCACTCGACAGTGTGCTCAATGGCGATGGACTGTGTTGTGTAACCTCACGTCATGGCCCCTCCAATGAGATGCAGCGCCCAGCATGATCAACATGTGCTTCAGCATGATCAGCCAGCCTAGAACTCCTGGCAAGGAGGGTTATCGAAACGAGAACAAGTCGCAGCAGACTTGTTGGCCGCTCAGGGAGGCCCAGTATTCACTCATGCATACCTCGCATATCGATTCGCTCAAACAAGAATACTTGTATACACACACCCACTCATCCTGCAAACGGCCCTGTTCAAATCAGCTTTTGGATTCCGGGCTGGATGTCCTCCAAGATGCCCATCAGCTCCTCCCAGACCTTGGATTGCATCACCTCGCCATCATCGCCGTTCAAGATGGGGGCATAGTCCGCGACGAGACAGTTCTCCATGTACCGGCCGTGTGACTCCTCATCCGCGAGCGCTCCGGCCAGCAGGCAGCGCGAGCCCATCTCCGACGTACGCCCGACGATGCGCAGACCAATGTTCATGGGGTAGTTGAAGGGAAAGGGCATGGAACGGAACAGCTCCGTCTGGCAGAGACCAGGGTGGACCGAGTTGATGATGATGTCCTCATCGGCGCTGTGCGCCGAGGCGCGTGTCGCAACGGCGAGGTGTTTAACGGCGATGATCTGCAGAAGCTTGGAGACGTTATAGCGGTCTAGGAGACTGCGGTTCTCGTTGAGAGCCTTGAAGACCTCCTTCTCTTTACGCTCGTTGAAGTAAGCCTATCCAATGTTAGCGGGAGGGTTCGACATGCGAGATATTCGTATGGTGGAGTTCTAGAGAGAGCCTTACTAGGTGACCTGCCGCACTAGCAGTGACAGTAAGATGCGGCTTCGTCTTGTACTGCTTGGCCGTCGCCCTCATCTTGGGGAGCAGCAGAATCGACAGCAGGAACGTCCCGATGACATTGATGGCCAGCGTCGACTCCCATCCCTCGCCCGTCTCGGCGTACTCAGCTGTCGCGAGACTAGCATTACTCAGTAATATGTCGACGCGGCCAAGCTCCTTCTCGACACGGGCGGCAAAGGCCTTGACATTGTTGAAGACGCCAAGGTCGACTTGCCAGACATCGAGACGGGTGGGACTGTCAGGGTGGGCGGCGCGTATCGTCTGGACTGCGGCCTCTCCCTTTGCGGTATCGCGACAAGCGACAATGACCCGGTCAGCGTGCAGGCGGGTGAAGTGACGCGCAGCCTCGAGGCCGAGACCAACGTTGGCGCCAGTGACGATGATGGTCCTTCCTGTCTGCAAGTCCTCAGGGACTGGAAGGTTTTTGAATTGAGAGACGAACGAGTTGATTAGCCCGGCCATCATTGCAGCTATGGACTGGAGGACAGGTCAATTGGGAAATGCAAGGAGTCGTCTTTGCTCAGTCAGCTGGTCTTATTGATTCCCCACGTATATCTGAGATTCGTTCATGAAACTTTGAGAAGGCCAAGAGATGAAAGTTGCCGAGGCTCAGACAGGGTGTTGTTACATTGTAGCTCATGCCTGTGTCATGTCGTCAGTACACGGCTATGTCACTAAATGTCTCGCCGAAATGAGTATGCAACTGTAGGGTGTAGTCCTTTTGCGGTGTGTCATGCCCATACCGCCAGTAGCCACTCTCTCTGGTAGGTAGGTACCTTAGGCGAAGTGTGCGAGAGAGGGACCTTGGTAAACCGGATCGGAAAACACCATGGTTGCTGAATGTATAATATTCGGTACACACTGTCGTTACACCAGTCGTAACACCAGATCGGCCGCGTCGGTTACGCATGTCAGACTGACTAAACCAAAACGAAGGATCCCAGCAGTTCGGCGACCCCTGACTTTTCCCCACAGCGCCGTGTCATCCAGCCAGCGTACGCGATTCGGTTACATAACTGCATTGTCCGTAGGTTGATCAGTAGATTGATCAAAAGCCTTGCGACCAGTTTCGCGAGCAATACATCATGATAATATTCTAGGCTACTCTCTGCCTAATCGAAAACAAGAGGAGACAGCGGTCGCGTAACCCAAGGCACGGGCAGGCCAAATTGTAAAACGCGTCAACAAGAGTGTGCAACACCAAAAACGCACCGTCTGGACTCCCCCACTCCTCCCTATGCCGGGTTCTTGCGGATGAACAGGCCTCGCGACGTCCAAGTGCGCTTCCGCAACTTGCATTATGGATGGGGCCATCCTTCGTCGAGGACCGCGATCTCAGAGGCCTGCACACACGTGCTCCTTCTAACACTCGCTGAACGTCTCCTCAGTATGCAATTCGAGAACGTGCGCTTCGTAACCTCTCTGTATCGTCGTCGCCATCGCATCTACTGGACCTGGCTGACAATCTCGCTGGCCCGCGCGAGGGACTCGACCATTTGCTGGCACTCCTTTCTCCGGCGCACGGTGAAGTCGCTTTCCTTGAGCAGGTCGTCGAGAGTGTCGCTGCGGTACATGTTCTCCAGGAGCTCCTTTTGCATCTCATCCTTGGTAAACCTATTCACGCGTCAGCAAGGTTTTGATATCACAATGGACAGGGCTACGTACTGAACAAGATTGAGCATGATAGCCTTGGGAACCATGTCGATCATGGTACGCTTCGTAATGTTGAAATAAGATGAAATAAGCAGCTCTGAGGGTAACGGTCAATCGACTGATGATAGACTTTCCTTCCATTCGTGGCGAACTTACTGATGACCTCGACCTCAATGTTCTCACGCTCAGAGAGCATGCCAGAGGCTTTGAGCGTAGGGGGAGGGGCCTCCATCGCGGCCGCCTTCTTCTTGTTCTTCGCTGCGAAGAAACTGCCGAAGAAACCACCGTTGGCGTCGCTCTCAGGCACAGTTGGGGACTGAGCCCTGGGTGTTCCGCCGGGCAGGGGCTTGCCGGTCTTGGGGTCGACCTGCACAGGCTTGGCGGGGTTGTACCGCTCATTGACAATGGCCATGGCACGGTGGCCGTTGAGGAAATCAGGGTGTCCAGTGTTGACATAGCAAGCCTCCATGCTGACAAGATCCTTGACAAGCTTGTTCGTGGGAGCCATGGCCTTCTTGAAGAAACCAATGACAACAGCGTGCATCTTCTCCTTGAGCTGGGGATACCTCCTGTACAGCGTTTTGCCAAGAAGCTGTGAAAGAATGCGAACCAACTCGTCATAGACGAGCGACACGCACTTCAGGCTAGGGTCTTCCAGTCGCTTGATCTGCTGCTTGACGATCAGCTCAAAGGCAGTCGTGCCTACAAAGAGTGCCGGCGAAGAGCCCGAGGAGTTGTAAAGGATAGTGCGGATATCGACGTCCTTGACGACATCAAACGGATCGACGGCCTTGACACCATTGGAGTACAGTTCGTGGAACACAAAGCTGATACGGGCACCACCCGACAGCTCTGTGCTCGACAGCTCCGTGTTGTTGCCGTCCAAAACCGTACGCCATTCATTCGTAAACTCGGTGATAATGTTCAAAACAATATTGCCGCTGTTTCCGAGCATGCTAGGGCCCAGGCTGTCCAGCTCCGAGGTGTACTTCTGTAGAGAGCTGGAAATGCGAGCCTTGATGTCAGGAAGCGTTTGCTTAATGTGCATCATAAGAATGAGGTTCAGCTTTTTCGCCAGGTACGGTGTGCCGCAGTAGGAGCTCTTGTTGCGGTATGACTTGTGGTTCTCGAAGAAGTTCTTCTCGGCCTCGAGGGCACTCGTGATGGCCTTCTTGTTGTCGATGTCGCGCTGTCCTCGGTTGACGACGGGGACGTAGCCGAGACGCAGGGGGATGATACGACCCGCCAGAATGTCTACAACATCGGTTCCGTCGTCCATCAAATCAATCTTGGTCAAGACGCCGATAGTTCTTTGGCCCTCGGGGTCTACCTCCCTCGCCATCTTGAGACCGTCAGAGTTAGCCAGATCGATGTTGGCCGAGGTCACAGCGAGGACGATGGCATTGGGCTTCGAGATGTACTTGAGCACCATGTCGCGAATCTGCCTCTCGATATCCCTGGGCTGGTCACCAACGGGAACTTTGGTCAAGCCAGGCAAATCGACAAGAGTCAAGGTAAGGACGTTGGGAGAGTAGACACGCAGGTTGATCGGCGCCGCCGAGATGCCGGCATTTCGGCCAACCTTTGCGTCCGTCTCCCTGCTGATTTCGTCGCGGATCTTGTTGAAGTCGAAGAACTTCTGGCCCGGGATGTGGAGGAACTCGCCCCACTCGTCATTGTTGGCGGCCTTGTCGGAGCTGTTGGCGACCTCGTCGTTGACGCCGTTGGAGGCTTGTGCCGGTCGGTTGATGAGCTGGAGGACAAGCGGTCGTCGTGTGCAAATACCAGCACCTCGCGGCAGGCTGGTGGTGGTGGGGTCAGCGTCAGAACCACATGAGCAGGGAGAAGGAGGGGTAAGGAGATAGGGGCTTACAAGTCGCGACCAACGATGTTCTCTAGCACAGAACTCTTTCCACTGGACTGACTGCCGACAACGGCGATCTGGGGAAGGTCGATGGGGTTGTTGACACCGACTGTCGAAAATACATCCTGGAGCTTGTTGACCAGTCTGCATGCCTTGTTAGCTGCCTAGATTCAAGCGTGCATAGGAGGATGGGAACAAGCCTACGTGATGAGAGCAGGATCGGAAATACCGCCGTGGGCGCTGGCGACATGAGCGTTGGCCGCCATGATGGATGTCGTGTGGTTTTGTAAACTACGGACGTGAGGTGTGGTGATTCTGGCGATGGGCTCGTCGGCCGTCTCTGGAGTGACGGTGAAGGTATCTTGTGTCGCAGATAGCTGCTGGAGCGTGACTTGAGAAGGACTCGGGTGATGCGGTGAATGTTGTTGGGGAAGCGACTTGGCGGGATTGTCCGTCTCGATGGAGTTTCGCAACGGCTGGCGCAACGAAAGCTGGTGGTCAGCAAAGATGCGAGTGCTCGAAGGTTCTCTCCTCGAAGCGTGGTTGTTGGGTTGGGGCTTTGGGAGACTTCACAAGCCTGACCGGGGCAACAAATCCACCTCGACTTACGACGTCGCTGGCCAGAGCAGGGGCGCTAGCCACGTGTGGCTCGAGCTCAGCCTTCTGGTTGCCAGCCTGAGCGTGGATTGCGCTGGAGGGCCTAGTGCGAGGCGATTCCCCTACGAGACCCTCCCACATGATTGGCGATATGTGCTTACTCATCGCTTCAAGGCAGTTGCACCGCCAATCGAAGTTACTTAAATCCAGGTGCCTAAGTCGGACATTTGTTGGCTGTTGTTGTTGTCGTCATCAAAGTCGTCACGAATGGGGTTATGTATTCTGGTTGTTCAAGTAGGCAGCAATCTTTGCACAAGGAGACCTTGCCGCGTGGAGGCATCCTTAGAGTTTACATGTAGCGAGGAAGCCGGTGTGGCCGCAGGACAGTACGAGGTCTTGTTTGAGCGTGTTTGACTAAGTGTCCGGGTAGGAAGTACCTTTTCTTGAACCGAGCGTTGGACGGGCACCCTGGAATAGAACACGCTCGTACATTGTGCAGTCAGTCAGTGACTGATTTTGGCCTAAGTAACCTTCCTACGCAACCTTTCACAGGGCATAGCTTATGAGGCTTGTGCTAAGCTTTTACTGGCCTGTATACGGCCTTAAGACATAGGCATGGCTTCTCTCATGGCACAATTCAGGCAGTCCGAGAGAGGTGATAATACAGGCAACCTCTCTGGCTAACAGCCGTGACCCACTCGCGTACTTGTAGGATGTCAAGAGCTCTGGCCCGAATGGAGCGAGTATCAGGGAGGCGTTGAGGTGCGAGGCACCTGACTTGTGAACTGGTGTTGGCGTAGAGAGCACGCCAGCAGCAGCAGCGCCCTGATAAGATCAAGCAGCACATACCCCACAGTGGAGCGGAGCCTGCGGAATCCCTGCGTCGGCTACCTGGTTGGTGCTGGTGCCATGATGACGTCCAATCAAGGTCGCCTGCTGTCATGTGCTCACCTCTTGCAGCATTGCTTCTCCAGACCCAAAACGCACCTGGCTGCCCAGTACGTACCTGGTTGATGGTGACCTATCTACCTGCACCTTAACCTCACCCCGTTCCAACCACTGTTGCCGTCACTCAAGCATACCGCGAATACCAACGAGCGCCAGAGACTCCCTCTTACATGCTACCGTGTTACTTTCTTGACGGGAGTCGCCTTATTCCTTAGACAAGCTCTTGCTCATTCCACCGCGGGATCATTCCCGCGGTGAACGGCAGGTCGTCGACCTCACGCTGGACTCCCATCCTCATTCCCCTCCCCAATCCAATCCCGAACCCAACTCCGACGGCCCATCTACCTCGCCAGATCCTCGACTAAACGCCGAATCCGTCTCCTCTGCCCCCAATCCACACCAGCTTCACCAGTCCCTGCCACCAACGTACACCATCGACAGCCGTGAGCACCCATCTTCGAGCTCCCATCCTCGCGCCAGTACCCATACGATAGCATCGAACCAGCCACGCCAGGCCCTCGGCCGGAGACAACGCAGCGATTCAGACCAGGAACAGACGGGCTGGGTCGGAGGTACCTCAAATCGGAGTTCTCGTTACAAGCGCCACCGGACCGACATGCCAGCTGATGATGATGCTCGTACCTCGAACGGGACGTCGAGGCCTAGCCATAATGGTGCTTCCACTGCTGAAAGCACGACATCCTCGGCCAACGGCATATACAAAGCGACGATAGCGACAAATGGCGCCTCGGCTGCCTCTCGTTTGGCCTCCTCCTCATACCATGGCCATGACAGGGAGGAGGTCACTCGCATCCTCATACAGACCTTGGCGGACATGGGATATCAGTCCGCTGCCGAGTCTTTGAGTCACGACAGCGGCTTTCAGCTGGAGAGCAAAACTGTTGGAAGCTTTCGAACTGCTATCATTGATGGGGTGTGGGATGTGGCCGAAGAACTCCTCTCTGGGGCTGCTGCCTCCGGTGACAGGAGTCAGCAGGGTAATGGTTTGGTGCTTGCTTCAGGATCCAACCCAAGCCTCATGCGATTTTGGATACGACAACAGAAGTTCTTGGAATTACTGGAAAGCAAGCACATCAGCCAAGCTCTTGTGGTTCTGAGGACGGAGCTTACGCCATTATACCAGGACACTCAGAAGCTCCACATGTTGTCAAGTCTACTCATGTGCACCTCGACCGAAGATTTGCGGTCTAAATCCGGCTGGGACGGCTCACGGGGGAATTCAAGACGTGAGCTGCTTTCGGAACTATCCAGTGAGTCCCTTGCCAACCCGGCAGTTTCCGTGTGTTGATCGAAGAGCAGAATGTATATCACCGTCCGTCATGCTACCTCAAAATCGCCTGGCTGTACTCCTAGACCAGGTGAAGCAGAGTCAGATCGATAGCTGTCTCTGGCACACCAGCGCATCCTCGCCATCTCTCTACTCCGACCACATTTGTGACCGCACTCACTTCCCCAACGAGACTGCACTGCAACTCACTGATCTGACGGGTGAGGTTTGGGGTGTTCAGTTTTCCAACGATGGACGGAGACTGGCTGGATTTGGATCTAATGACACGGTTATGATCTGGGAAGTCCCCTCTTTCAACGTTGTCCGAACACTAGGGGAACATGTCGATGGCTGCGCGAATCTGGCATGGAGCCCGGATGACTCCATGATAGTAACATGCGGTCGTGATAAGCATGCACGGCTGTGGGATACCAAGGTGGGCTCTTGATCCTCATATCCCATTCCACTCACTAACAACAACAATAGTCGGGCCACCTCCTAAAGAAGATCGGCCGCCTCGCAGAGCCCGTCAGTGGGTGCGTCTGGGCGCCGGACGGCCAAAGCTTCGTAGTCAGTTCACTGGACAAGGAGCACAGTATACAGTCCTGGAGCGTAGACGGAGAGCTCATATGCGACTGGGCTAAGAAGCACAGGGTCCAAGACGTCTGTGGTTCCGCCGACGGCCACTGGCTGGTCGCCGTAGACGACTCGCAGTCTATTCACATCTACAACGCTGTGACGCGAAAGCTTGAATGCACTATGAAGCTTGATTCTAGGCCAACCTCGGTTAGCATCAGCGTGGACTCGAGGCATCTGCTGGTCAACAAACAAAACGACGAGGCGCAGCTGATCGATCTGGTCGCTCGGAAACCCGTGCAGAAATTCCTCGGACACACAGGCGGCGCCTGTTTGATTCGGAGTGCTTTTGGCGGTGCGAACGAGAGTTTCGTCGTCAGTGGCAGCGAAGGTTTGTGACGCTTGAGTCTCGCCAGTCATCTGTACTAACCGGCTCCTCCCAGACGGCAGCATACTTATCTGGCACAAGAACAGCGGAGTGGCCGTGGAAAAGCTACAGGGCCACTCTCCTCGGACAAATGCTGTTGTGTGGAACCCGACAGATCCGTGCATGATTGCGTCCTGTGGCGACGAAGGCGTTATCAAGATGTGAGCAGAACACCTTGATTTCTGGTATCAGCTGTCACTAACATGGCACAGATGGTCCAACAAAGCGAAGGGGGCGACACTTCGGTCAATTCGCGGGGGGGCGGATCTTTAGTCATAGAGGCATCCTAGGCGCAATGCAATTGTTTCGGGCTCAAAGACTCAATACAGAATTCTATCGATAAGGATACCATCCAGCGTGCGGTCCGAGCTCCGAGCTTGTAAGTCTATGATGAAATGTTTACAGGAACATCCAGAGAAGAGTACCCATGCCGCTGGCGAGCATTGCAGGGCCAAAGGTGGCGGCACCTGAGCTGTTCGTCGACGTCGCTGGGTCGTTGTCCGTCTGCGCCTCGCTGTCGCTGTCACCAGCTTCGGTCGAGGTTCCCGTGGCATTGGTCATTGGAGAGCTCGCGCCGTCGATGAGCAGCGACGAGACGGCAGCCAGCACGTTCAGGGCCTCGCCAGCACCAGTCGTGCCATCCGCTTCCGGGTCGACGTACTCGCCGAGTGACCAGTAGAAGCCGCAAGCACGTCCCGAATCGCCACCGGTGCACTGCTCAACGGCGGCTTCTGCCGACTTTTGCAGCACGGGCAGGATGAGCTGGCTTGTAGAGGGAACGAGCTGGGTGACGACGGCCAGGAGTCGATGCGCATAGCCCTTGTACGCAATCATGTCGCCGGTGCAGCGACCCTTAGCGGCCTCACAGGGGACCTCGTAAGCGACGTCTTCGGGGAAGAAGTCCTGGAGGAATCGCCCCACGAGCTCGTTTGTACGCTCAAGCCACTTCTCCTCCTGGGTGTGGTTGTAGATGAAGGCAGCACCCTGCGTCAGGAAAGCAATGTTGGTGGAAAAGGTGGCCTTGTTCACATCGGTACAGTTTTGCTCGGAGTGCGCGCCATCGTACGCTCGCCAGGTCTTGTGGTCAATGTATTCCAAAGCCCAAAGCCAATCCCAGGTCGCCTCGGCCTGACGCAGGTAGGTGCTGTTGCCGGTGTAACGGGCGAGGCGCGCGCCCAGGTTGAAAAAGACGGCGTTGGAAACGGTGTTCTTGTACTGGTAGCCAAGCTGTTCGGGGGAAATGGCCCAGGCCAGACCTCCGCCGCACCGGTCATCGAGACGCTCAACCTGAGTGTTCCAGACGGCTTGTGCCAAGGGCAGCCAAACTTCATTGTCGGGAGCGGGAAATTGATGCTCGGCAGCCAGCATGGCGGCCATGCCCCAGAAGCCTTGATCGTCGTTGACGAGGGTAGCAGTCTGGTTGGCCGGCATGTAGTTGCGGTCCTTTCCAGCCTGATGAAGCAAGCCCTTGGCCACAACATCGTTGTAAGTCCCGTCACCAGTCAAGTGCCAATAGTCAACGAGGGTGCTCATCATTGTGGCTGCTTGGTACCAGTAGTAGTCACCCAGACCCTCAGATGGCGGTCCCGGCAGGAGGCCAGGGGTCTTGCCCGTGCTGTTGCCATCGTAGAAGAGCATCGCGTCGTACGCAAGGGTCTGCGCTGACTCGCGAATTTCATCTTTCACACTGTCAGCGAAGCCTCAAACCCCAACTCTGAAAGTGACTCAATGTACCATCAGTGCCAACAGAATAGCCCTGCGCGAGGGCGGTGGCAAGGCATCCCAGGACGAGCAACGCCGTGGGGCGGCCAGCGGTGGGCAGAGTCGCAAACATGGCGATGACCGACGGAACGGGGAAAACGAGCGGAATAAGCCTGCGGTATAAAGATTGCAGGCGAAGTTTGCTGAGTAACAACAATGAACGAGCGGCGGCTCCTGTTTCTTCCTCTAGGTGCCAATGTGTGGGCTGAGAGATGACTTGTTACTCAGCTCGAAGATAGGCGCCTCAACTAACTGCTCTGGCATGGAGAAGAGGCTGGCGGTTCAAGTAGTGAGAACGACATCTTGCTGCCTATTCTGTGCCGCAAACAAACTTGCACTGCAGCGCCGAATAACTTGGCGACAGGGTTAATGAAGGATCCTTCAGGTACGAAGGAAGCGAGACCTCAGGTGAGCTGTCCATTCAGACGCGGCGCAGCTATTGGCCAACGTCACGCGCCTCGGACCTGGTCCTCTGCAACAAACATTGGCAAACCCAATTGTATGTCAAAGACAACCAAGCGCGGTATGCTGCAGACCTTGGATTTGTTTTCCTATCATCAGAATACGAGATGAGATGCTTGAGCTGTGGCACTTGCAGCAAATGGTCGGGGTAGACCCCCACCTCCCGATATTCCCGCGGGGAGCAGACTAGCGAGCTTCCTTTTTCGTCACAGAGGACACTGCTAAACCTGACTTGCGACGGATATGGAAATTCTAAGGCTGAGCCGCCATCTTCGTTGTCCAAGGCAGCATGTGAAGCAGATTCAATGACGAAGACAACCTGGAAATTGTCGTGTGGAGCCGTTGACGAGAATTGAATAGCGCCTTCTCTGGTGTCAATATTGTTCAGAAGGACAAAGGGCTGTGGAAGGATTGTAGGCATCGCCGAGACTTTGATGAAATGATGATGGTTGCAGCATGTCTATGCATGCCAGCTCACCTGTTTTCTTTTTGCTTAGATGACGACTCTCTCGATATTGCCAAGCCGCACCTCCAAACCAAAGTAGGTACCTCAGGTAAGGGTTGTTGCCTTAGCTACCCAAGATGTCGTGTGCTTTGAGGTAAGGTACCTAGGGCAAACCATTCATTCTTCCAGCCGGCGGAAGGTTGGAACAAACATGGAATGAACCTGCTCGGTGGAGCCTGGTGTCACTCAAGGTACCTAAGGTACGGTCAGGTACCTAGGTAAGGTAGGTGGTACCTTAAGGTTGAGGTAGGTACTTACCTAGGTACCTCTAGGTCGGTAGCTAGCATCTATAGCAACCACGACATTCACTCCTGCCCCCCCAAGGCAGGCACAATGCAACTCGTTCACCTGCGGGCATCTCCTTCTTCAACATGTGTCATCACTCAGGTTTGGTGAATCAGAGCAAGTTTCAAGTGATGCCTTCCACTTCCATATCCAGGATCGGCTCCGCCTCTTGAATATATACCTTCCTCGAGCAAAACGGACCTTGTTGACAAGTACCTACCTACCCTAGGTACCTAAACCAAGTCTGGCCTTGACGACCTTGATTATCTTTCAGTTACGCCCACCAGACACCCTCGTTGGCGAGCTCACATTGAGGCAAACACTCTGGGTGTTGAGAGAGACAGTTTCCGGCCCTGAATACCTAGGTAGCAACAGAAGGTTGTTCGAAGATGCCTACCTCTGCTGCCCATCCCTGCCTGCAGTGCAGTGCGACGTTCAAGAGCTGGAAGTCGTTGCAAACGCATCGAGAAGAGAAATATCAAGAGGATGGCTCTCACGTCCACTGTGCTACCTGCGGCCTTACGTTTGGCTCGGTCATTGTCATGGTACACCATGTGAAACAGGTGAGTCTTCAGCGTTGACAACCCAGGGTCCCGAGAGAACGTCCCTCAGTGTTGACTCTGCCGCACCAGGCCCACGGAAGGGAGCAGGACCTGAAATGCCCAGGATGCGATGCCAGTTTTGCCCGAGCTGGTGGTCTCATGGGACACCTCGAGTATGAGGAATGCTCTGTCATCCCAAAGTCTGCTCTAGACGCCTATCGCTCAAAGAAACTTGCCATGCCGTTGGCCTTGGAGAAGCTCAGCCTGACCGAATCAGATTCAGACAAAGCCGACTCGAACGCGGGCAATGCACACGACTGGGTCCGACACCCTGCCGAGAACCTAGCCCCGGCTAACAGGCTTTCGTTTGCTCCTGATGCCTTCCCATTGCTGCCAAACCAGGCGAGCCAGGTCCCGCAGCCACAGAACCAACGTCAGAAACCTGGCGGTCAAGGTCTCACTGATGCATGGGGACGACAGGAGAACCTTTTTCCAAATGCGGCTGCCGTACAGAGACCAACATCCGTACAACTGGCTGAGGCGACACGACCCAACGCAAAATCAGAATACCTCGCAGCTATCCATGATCCGAATCATCGGGATTTCAATGCCGAGAAGTACTTCAATGACTTCAACAACCTGTTTGAATGTCCAATGAAGGGATGCCCACAGTCGTTTGATTCTGCCGTTGCGATCACGACCCATCTGGTGACCCGCGGTATGCACGGCACCGGTGACAGACTTCAATGCCCGGCGTGTCTTCGTTTCTTCGTCGGTGTCACGGCCATGACCCAACATGCCGAGTCCCAGTCAACGCGCTGCAATATCCGAACTTCGGCAAAGTATCGGCCGTTTCTGGCCCAGCTCACTGCCGGTGTCATGGACGCCGTAGGACAGCACTCCGATACAACCATCAAGTATGAGGTCACCAACGAGGCCCTTATTCAGTACGGCAAAGTAAGTCGTAAACCCAACGCTGTCGTCGGTGTCCAGCCAGGCTCAATCAAGCTCTCTGAGCGCGCCGACTACTGGCGCACTCATGAGGTCAAGGATGCAGAATGGTAGATCGAGGTGCCGAATTTTGAGTGCACAGGGCCAACAACAAGATATAGCTCCTCGGTTAGCAAACAAAGTATTTTCCGCCCTTGGCCTCGTTAGGACCAAGGACGCGTAAAAATAGCTCAAGCAGAGAAATGAAAAGACCCGTAGGAAAAGTCAAACTCAATGCGCTACAGTGTGATCATGCTGCTCGAGAATTGGAAGTGACGTCCACCACGCTGGCCAGCGACGCGTGTCCCAGATTACCGGTACGACTTGACATCTGGCCCTTGAACTTGCACCGCCACAACCTGGCCTAGGTGTTGGTCAGCACCAGCCTCGCCCCCTGGCCCTCTCTCAGGGACCCCTGATTCCCTGATTGTTCTGGTATCAGATACCGAAGCTTCCATTTCCATTGAAGGTTGGATCGTCCGCGTGGCCATCAACCATCTACCATCACCTACGGAGTTTCCGGCATTCGCTTTCTGACGCCGCACAACATCTGCAGTGCCTCCATGCGACGATAACACAAATTTCTTTCCGCTTTCCTGTCCACGCTATGAGAGACTTTCTCCTTGCACTTCGCACTTCGTCCCCTGTCTGCTGATGGACTCTACTCGACCCGCATCACCAACATCCTTCACCATGGCTGGGATTCGTCGGTGGGCACGCAGGATCGAGCGCTGCTGCTGCACTTCCCTGACCTACTTCCCTCTCCTTTTCGTGTACGGCCTCACCACATGGGCCGTCTGGGTAGACGTCAACATTGGCTCTTCCCAATCCAAGGTTGCTTGGCTAGGTGCGTGGCAGCCCACCCCTCTACGTCCGTTCGACTTGATCCAACAGCACTGACCGACTCGTATAGGCAACGGCTCATCCTTCGTCGCGCTCCTTATATATGGACTTCTCAACTGGTCCTACACAACTGCCGTCTTCACAAACCCTGGCAGCACCACCAACGACAATGGCTACGCCGAGTTACCAACCGAAGCCCCGCCAACCGCCACTTCCTTCACCGTCAAGTCCAATGGTGAAGTGCGTTTCTGCAAGAAATGCCAAGCCAGGAAGCCTGATCGCGCCCATCACTGTTCTAGCTGCCGCAAGTGTGTTCTCAAGATGGATCACCACTGTCCTTGGCTGGCCACGTGCATCGGATTGAAGAACCACAAAGCTTTCCTGTTGTTCCTGATCTATACGACAATCCTGTGTTTTTACTCCTTCGCCGTCTCTGGTAGCTGGGTCTACGTCGAGATTGTCAACAACACTACATACGTAGACACGCTGCTCCCCATCAACTTTATCATTCTGAGCGTCGTGTCGGGCATCATCGGCATCGTTGTCGGAGCGTTCACTGGCTGGCATATACTGCTAGCCAGCCGAGGCCAGACCACCATCGAGTGTCTCGAGAAGACACGCTACCTCTCGCCTATCCGCCGAGCTATGCAGACGAACAATATTCGCGGTGTTCCGCTGCCGCAATATGGGCAGCAGCTGCTTGACGTTCACGCCAACGCTCTCCCGGGCATCACTCGCCCTGAAGAGGGTGAGGAGTACCGCTCGGGTGGGCCCGGTCTTGACGGCCAGCGTCCCGCATTCCAATCCTACGAGGAGGTCGAGAGACACAACGCCCGGAAGCGCTACGAGGACTACCTCGATGAACAGGACTCGGAGAAGCTCCCCAACGCCTTCGACCTCGGCGCCAAGCGAAACCTCCTCCACCTCTTTGGTCCCACGCCTTGGCTTTGGGCCTTTCCCATTTGCAACACGACTGGAAATGGGTGGTCGTGGGAGGCCAGCCCCAAGTGGGTTGCCGCCCAAGATCGCATCAGGCGGGATCGCGAGGCTCAGCGCGCCCGTGAAGTCAATGCTGGATGGGGCTCCGACGATGCGCCGCCCCAGTTCCTACGTCCCAACCCTCCGGCCGGTGCGGGCCGCCACTTCAACCAGGCACCAGCGCCCTCGCCCTCGACACTCACCGGCCGGAAAACACCCTCCAAGGCCGACCGTGTACTGGGCCGTGACCCCAACCTGTACGCAGACGAGATGCAGGATGCCGTCTCCATGCGCAAGCTCAGCCCCAGAGGCAAGGCGATCGAAGACGACCTCTTCGCCACAGACGACGAGGGCCACAGCCCCGAAGATGACGCCGAGGCCGCAGAAAACAGGGCCATGAACCTCGTGACGAACGGGGGCTGGGGCCGCGGCGGCGCGAGCGGGCTGCTGAGGAAACACAGCAGCAACAGTACCAGCCCGTCCATAGGCGGGACAGGCTTTGACCGACGGGCGTCAACGGTGGATGATGATCTTGACTAAAGTGTTTCTCTTATTTTGCTTAAGGGGAAGGGGAGAGGAGTCATGAATATACCATGCGCCGGCCGGGCATGTCGGCGTTTTGTTTCGGTCTGGATTTTTTCTGTAGTTTATTATGGGAAGCATCATGTCAAAGGGGCTGAGCTGAGAGAGCGCTTTTCCGACTGAAGCTATTCATTTCAAGTCATGTATCGTGAACAAGACTGATACAAAGGTGCACTCACTGTTGAACCCAATCATGGGACGGCAGCTTAGGCTTATTGACTCAATTCGAAGCACTGGTTAAGACGAATCCCATGTTTGATTTGGTTATTGATACGGTGCAATGTTATGAACGTAATCATCGCTGTGCCATGGAAGCACAAGTGAGTCTTCAATCTGATGCCTTTTCCTTATTCCCTTGTCCTCGTCCCATGGTGCAGAGAAGATAACCTTATAAAGACTTCTATTGAAGCAATTCCTTGAAACCCAGAAAGCCAAAGTTGCCTCCTTGGCAGGTCGTCGTCTCATCTCTGTCCGGTCTCCGTCCGGTCTCCGTCCAGTCGTTGTACTTTGATGCTAATGCTAATGCTTCTTCTTGCGTCCTGGAACTCATGCCGATGCTGTAAACTCTCCCAGAGATCACTGGACAGTGAGGACCTTTGTCTTGTTCTCCTTCTGCGCCTTCATCGCCTCCACCCAGCGATCCGTCTCCCGCAGCGCCTTCTTGGGATCCTTCTTCCTCTTGAGCAGGAATCCCTGAATCTCTGCTGGGCTGAGAAGCCCGTCGTCGATTTTGCTGCCAAACGCGGCCGCAATGTGTGACAGGCCTTCGACGCCGTCGCCGCCGCCGACCTCGGCTCCCTTGTCCTCCGCCTGTCCGTTCTGCGTCGCCTCGGCGCTCTTCTCGACGGCAGCGTCGTTCTTTGCGGCATCTGCCTCGTACATACGCTCGAACAGCTCGCGCGCCTGCTCGCTCGTGGCGTTTCCAAAGGCGACCTGCAGATCGACGCGACCAGGCCGGATGAGCGCGGCGTCGAGGGCCTCGGGGTGATTGGTCGTCATGACGAGGACGCGGCCTTCCTGGGATGCGACGCCGTCGATGGCGTTGAGGAGACCGGAGAGGGAGATACCCTTGCGGTCGTCGCCGCCGGCGCCGGGCGCCTTGAGGGCGCGGGCGAGGTCGGAGACCTTCCAGTCTTCGCGAGGGCGGTGGGCTGCAGGCTGGTCGTGTGATGCGGACTCCTTGTCGCCGTTGACGCTCGCGCGCGGACCGCGGCCTGGGCGGGTCTTCTTGTCTGTGGCTGGTGCTTCGCTTGCTTCCTCTTCCTCTATCTCTTCTTGTGGGCGGCGGAGGCCGGCGGCGTCAATGTCTTCGAGGAGGACGACGCAGCGCCGGGGCAGGCTGCTGAAGAGGGTGCCGAGATCTTCTTCGGAGAGAGTGGGCTCGAGCAGACTGATGACGTAGATGTCGAGACCGAACACGCCGGCGAGGGCAAACGACAGAGACGTCTTGCCGGTGCCAGGAGGTCCGTGGAATAGATAACCGCGGCGAAGAGGGATACCGCGGTTAGCGTACCAGCGCGGGGTCGCCGGGTGGAGGTACTCGTTCATATCGGCGAGGACAGTCGACTTTTGAGCGGCGTCGAGGATGACCGTGCGAAGGCCGCGGACGGGACGAACTGCCACAGTCGCCCAGTTGCGACCGTTGAAGCGGCGGAGGGGCTGGGGCGAGGGCCGCTTGATGGTGGTGCGGGCGACGTGGTCGCTGTAGTAATGCTGCTTGACGGCCTGGAGGAGAGTCTTAATAGGTGTGGTTGAACGGCCGAAGCAGGAGATGACGAGGACCTCTTCTTTCTCCAGGGTCGTGCCGGTCGAGCCACGAGCTCCTCCAGAGTTATCGTCGAGGAACGACTGGTGCTTCCGCTGCAGGCGGAAGTAGCGACGTCCATACCAGAAGCCGTGGAGACCAATTGCTGGCACGAAGCGAGGGGGTGCGTTGGCCTGCTGGTTGGAGAAGTTGAGATACTTTTCATCGCCGCCGCCGGCAATCGTGCGAAGTTGAAGGGCATCTATCTGATCCTCGTCATCTTCCCAGGCGGAATGAGCGGCGGTCTCGACCATGAGTGAGCGAGACGTCGTGACCAACGGCTGAACGGCGAGCCACTTCATCATATGAACATAGATTTCGTCTGTCGACGCCACGGTGATGGATGCCATGAAATGAGCTGTTACAATCACAGCAAGGGCGTGGTAAAGCTGCCGGGCAAAGCGGTTGATGGCCCAGGCGGCGACGGCGAGGGTCAAGAGGAATGAGGGGTCGATGGGCAGGCCAAGACGGGCGCCGAGGATGTTGTTGGCGAGATTCAAGGCGCGGAGGAGAGGACTGAGCTGGCCTCCAAGCAGAGGAGCCAGGGCGTCCAGAAGGGGGTTCTTGGGAAGTCGCCCATGGCTGTTAAAGGTACCAGAAGTTGATGCCGTCGATGGACTCCCAGCACAGGCATCTACTGTGCTGTTTGGGCCGAAGAGGCCGTAGAGGATCTCCTTAAGGTCCATCACGGCCACCCTGCTTGTGGTGTTGTTGTTGCTGGTTGGCCTTGTAATCTCACGTCTCCGAGTTTCTTCGTTCAACCTTTTTGTAGGCCTTGCCCGGTTTCGCGCAGCTTCCCGTCTTTCCCGTCTTCGGCCCGGCTGATTGGTTGTAGCCGGCGTTCACGATGTCAGGTTGTCGGGTCGTCCGGTCGCTCGGTCGTCCGGTCGTCTGGTCGTCCGGCCACTTGCCCCGTCGTCCGGCCACTTGCCCAGTTCCAATGTCCGGAGCTCCTTGTCTTCCAGCTCTTGTAATCGTCCGGCCTTTGTCGCCGTTCACCCTTATTCGGTCTTGGGCTGGTAGTTTAACTCGATGCTTTGATGTCTATATAGCTCCTAGTGATCCTGGTATAACGAAGGATCATACGTTCTATGAACTATGAAGACTGGGAAGAGGCGAGTGACGAAGAGAGAACTTAGGCTGGATGATGAATTATAACTTGAACGCCTTTGTAATGAAGTACTCTCTCTAGGCAGCAAAGTTCACTTGACTTATGACCAACTGCAAGGCAAAATGATCTGCATGCAGTATCTTGTGTATAAGGTTTTGGGGCGGGTTGCGATATTGTGAATGCAATCCTGTGAATCGATGCCTGGACTGCCTCACTCGCAAAATGCCATATTGTCTTTGAAAAAAAGCCAGCAGGCAAGCAGATGACGTCTCTCTTTTCATCGTTGCGTTACAAGGCAGTGTGGTGGGGCTGTCATCATCAGTCGCCACCTACTTGCATAGCCTCTGTTGTCGGTTTTGGGAACGCGAGGTCTTCTGGGCAAGGCAACGAACCCAGGTACCGAGCCAAGCGAGCCAAGGTACAAGGGCACAAGTGTTGATCAATAGGTCTAGAACAATATTCCCAAGGCAGCCAGTCGATACAAGCCGTTGGATTGGCCCTCTGCTACATGCTACATAAGTCTTGGCGGGGAATGGGGGCTGACTCACAGTCGGTGTTCGTATTGGGACTGGTCGGTGTCCTATCTGGACAACCACCGCTGGCTTAGCTGGCTGAACAACCACCAACATGTCCTCTAATCTGCTTCCATCCTTATTCGCATTGTGGTATTGCCTGGATGACTCGTCAAGCCAGTATTTTGGCCGGCGATCTGTGGCCTTCTCGGCAACCTGGTTATAAGGACGGCCCTCGGGGTCCAACACCGCTCCCCGTAACCTCTTCAGCCTCGACCTCATCGTCGTCTGCTTCTTCCTCTCCTTCCTCGTCCTCGTCCTCCTCGTCTTCATCTTCGTCATATACCCCTGCTGTCATTTCAACGTCCGTGTCCCTGAGAGCATCTGCCTGTCGTTTTGGTGGCCCGCCGAAGCGATTAGCCCCGAAAGCCACGTAATCGTCATCGTCGTCTTCTTCGTCGTCTTCCTCCTCATCGTCATCCTCGTCATACTCGTTACCCGTCTCTTCGGCCTCGCCTTCCATGGGAACGTAGAAGCTCCGGTCGGCATACGGCGGTCTGCTCGCATCATTTTGGCCAGCCGACCCTGTTAATTGCGCCAGGATGCTTTCCTCTTCCTCATCCTCGTCGGGTTCTCCGTCCTCCTGCAAAATGCCCCTCAGGTTCGGATCGATCTTGACATGGTCATCTCGGCTGTGATCTGACGTCTGCTCGTCTCTGCCGGCTAGGGCGCGGGCCGTCTCATGTGCAAAATGGTATCTATTCGGCCCGCTGTCTCCTTCGAGCGGCTCGTCGTCTTCGCCATCGACTTCAGCCACGCTTTTGAGCCGCGGCCCGCGCTTGTTCTGTCCAGGCACGCGGTAGTCAAACCCGTGCGTCTTCTTCTTCTTGGGTTGCTTCCAGTTTCGACCGTAAATCTCGCGCATTTCGTCGTCTGTGAGCTTCAGATCAGGGACAGGGATCCGCACGGCTGACGAGTTGGGCGGGGGCGTTGTATCCCGCACCTCAAACACTGCATCGAACGCCTCATCGGGGAACTTGCGTCCAAATTGAACTGCCATCATCTTTGTCTTCATAACAGCTTTGAGCTTCGCCCACGTGGCTCCGTGGAACCACCCGCTCGTTAAAATGCTACACTCGGGTCGCACGGGAGACTCGTTTACGATCCGTGCAATGACTGGGTCGGTGATGTCACAGACCTGCCAGATCTTGCCATCGGACCAAAACGATTTGCCGTCAAAGACGTGGCTGTTGAAATTGTCGCCCATCTGCTGTCGGGCTTCGGTGCGGATACTGCGAAGGCCTTGCCATGTCTCGCCGGCATATCCCGGCTGCAGCTTGCGTAAATTGAAGATGACAGTTTGGTATTTGCGAAAGCTTGGATCAGACCGAGGATCGACGCCGTACTTGATGATGGAATCACGGAACGGCCCACCTCGAAACTGATATCCTGCAAAGCCCGCACAGCGTTTGACGATGTGTGCGTTGCGGACCTTGGTTCCGAGGGCGTTTAGGAGCGATCTTCGTGTCCATATAGGCCTGTCCTCCATAAGCTCCTTGGAGAGGGTGATGCACATCTCGACCTCAGGGTCACCGCCATCATATTCGAACTGCGGGCCGGTTGGGTACGGGGTACTGGTCGGCACATAGGAGAAGCGGAGCAATACAGGCATATGTGTATAGATAGATGTGTAATATCTATAAATGCAGCTGTCGGTAACTATGGGGGTGTATATATAGAGGGGTATGTATATATAGGAGTATATGTATCTGTGTGGAGATGTGCTATATATGTATATATATATGTGTATATATATGTGGATATGTGGGGGTGGGGGTCGTGCCGGTATGTATGCATATAGATGTACAGCGACATATGGCGCATGCGCATAGGATGGATGTGGAGTGTATGTAGATAGATGTATAAGGACGTAGGGTGTAGATAGAGAGTGTGAGGCGGAAGAGCTCGAGATAAGTATGAGACGCCAGCAGAGGTCAAGATAGACGAAAGAGATGGAGATGAGTAAAGAGAACGCGAGCGATTAGGAAGGATCGAAGTGAGGACAGTAAGTCATGGCGTGAGTTGAGTGCGCGTAAGAA